TACTGTGCTGCAGGGCCATATCCCTGGCTGGATTTTGTTTCTTTTGTGATTGATTGATTGATTGATTGATTCAGAGTCTCACTACATAGTTCAGGCTGGTTTTGAACTTACTATGTAACCCAGACTGGTTTTAAACTTTTGATGCTTTTTCCTGTCTCAGCCTCCCGAATACTGGGATTATATGTGTGCGTTTCCATGCCCAGTAGTTTTGTTTTGTGTTTTGAGATAAAGTCCTGCTATGTAGCGAAGAGTGACCTTAAACTGGCTAAACAATTCAGGTTGTTCTTGAACTTGCAGTCTTAGCTCAGCCTTCTGAGTGAGAAAATTTTTAATTTGAAAAAAAAAAAAACTTGTAATTTAAAAGCATTCTAGGGGATTTAGCTCAGCGGCATAAGCGCCTGCCTTGCAAGCAGGCAGTTGTGAGTTCGATCCCCAGTACCGATAAAAAGGAAAAAGACAAAAAAAAAGCATTCTAAATTTTAATTAATTAATTAATTTTGTCTTTTTCAGACAGGGTCTCACTATGCAGTTCAGGTTGGCCTTAGGCTCACTTTGTGGCCCAGGCTGGTCTTGAATTTTCAACAATCCTCCTGCCTTAGCCTCCCAAATTCTGGGATTACAGGAGTGTGCCACCATGCCCAGCTAGCATTCTAAATTTTAATTTGAAGTTCAGTTTACTGGTTTTCTTCTTTATGGGTCAGGCTTTTAGTGTCAATTTTAAGTTGTTTAGCCCCAACTTTCAAGGCATTTTATCCTATTTTGTTGTTGTTGTTGTTTGTTTTGAGACAGGGTCTTGCTGTGCCTTTCAGGCTGGCCTGGATAAGGCTGGCCTCAAACTCCCAAGTGCTGGAATTACAGGTGTATGCCGCCCCATCTGGTTATCCTATGTTTTTTCTTATCCTAGGTTTACATTAAATCTGTGATTCCTCTTTATGTGAATCGAGCTTTGTGAACTGTCATCTACCCAGGCAGGTCAGTACCCAGCAGAAGACCCATATATAGGGGGAGGCTTTGCAGATTTCCGGACCCTTCTCCTGTAGTTTCCTGTCCTCTGATGCTCCTCCCAGGACGTCTGCCCTTACCCACAGTGCTAAACTACCTCTTCAGCAAGTTGGAGCCTGAGCAGGACATCGCACAATGGCTAATCAGGTACACCTACCTGCAGGCTTGCTAACAGTAACAAGGCCCCCAGGTCAGGTATGGCAGAGCACTTGTCTATAATCCTAGATCTCAGGGAGGCTGAGCAAAGAACCACAGGTTCAAGCTCAGCCTGTACAATTTAGAGACTCAGCGAGACCCTGTGTCAAAAAATTGGGGGAAAAAAAAAGGGTCTGAAGATGTACCTCAGTACAAACACCCTGGGTTCATCCCCAGCACAGAAAAGAGGACAGAAGGCAAGCAAGAAGGAAGCCCGCAAGGATGCAGGCACGAAGACATCCTAGCCTGGCCTTGGTCATCCCCACAAGAGCCCAAATCCGTGTAGTGACGGGGAATGGGGACAAACCTCAGAGTCTGGGGACAGCACGGTGCCCTGAGCAACGGCATCGGATAGCTGTCTTCCCTCTGGACCCACTCTCTCCCCACTCCCCCACCTCTCAGGCTCTTTGGGCCTCCCTACCCGTGGGGAGCCAGGAAACTGGGTGCCCACCCCCACCCTGGGCTCCCAAATGTCATTGAAAACTTTTTACCTAATATGGGAATAAATCACATTCCGGCTTCACTCTGTACTTGAATTTTCCTAAGAGGAAAATTCTGTTTCTCTATTCTCAATGCTCTGATGATAAACGTGGGTTTTCCAACCCACGTCAGTCTCTAATTCCCTGTGGAGGCCAACTCTATGTCCTGCAGTACGACTCAAACGTGACCCTAACTAGCTAGAGTTAGTGCAATCAGACCCACAGGTTAAGGACTCAGTCCCCAAGACTATCCCCTTCCCCATTCTGGACAATAGTTGTAAATAAGGGTCCCCCAGCTACCCATACTTCTGTCCAGCTTGATTACAGGTTGGCGGTTCCTGTGATCCTCAGGTTTGGTAACCTGCGGCTCACAGAACTCAGGGAGCGGACTTCCTATCACCGATTCATTCCCAGGGATGCAGCTTGGGAACATCTAAATAGAAGGGAACATAGGGCGAAGTGTTGGGGGACAGAGCATCCATGCCCTCTCAGAGGGCCCCCCCCTCAGTCCTCCATCTGTGTACCAGAATCTTCCTGAGGCCCACAGCTGAGGCTTTCCATGGCTGTTCCATGATGTCGGCCTGGGAGGTTTATATCATTGGCTGTGGAACTCAGTTGCCAGCCTGGAGGCCGGGCAGAGACTGAGTTCAACCTTCTAATAACCAATTCAGCTCCCGGGCAACCAGCGCCGGGCCTCCCAGAGTTGTCACTGAACCACACCCTGTTTTGCACACTGCACAGGATGCTGTCACTGAAACAACACATTTTGCAAAGGAGATTATTCAGGAGGCAGCTGCGCCAGTGAAGAGGGGAGAATGCAAGTCTCAAATCTGCCTTCCCATAGGGATAAAGAAGCCTCCGTGGGGCTGGGGGCGGAGCTCAGGGGTAGAGCACCTGCTTAGCACCGCACCGCCCTGGGTTCCATCCCCAGCACCTTCCACCACGCCCAAAGAAGTAGTCTGATTAAAGGCAGTGGTTAGAAGCAATCTGTGGCCTTCGTTCGTGTAATGAAACTTTGGGGCTCTTCAGAGGATGTGTGTCCTGAAAACTGCATTAGTGTGCTCAGAGGGTGTTTTGGGTGCTCTGAAATCAAAGTCACCCATTAGGGACCTGGGCAGGCCCAAGTGAAGAGTTGACAGTTTCAAACCGAGCGGCCTTCCTGCTCCCTAAAAGTAATATCGGTGACCCACATTTCAGAAGTACTATCAACAACAAAGCTGCGTGGTCGCCCGAATTAGCGATTTTTGTTTTTCTTTCTTGAGATAGGATCTTACTATATTAGTCCAGAGTGCCTTGAACTAGCTATTAGCCCAGGGTAGGCTCAAACTTGCAATCATCCTGTCTCAGCCTCCTGGACAATGGGATTACAGGCATGTACCACCACGCTCAGCTTCCAAATTACTGATTTTTAAAGTTGACTAAAGTTGGGGCTGAGGATTTAGCTCAGCGACATAAGTGCCTGCCTTGTAAGCAGGCAGTTGTGAGTTCAATCCCTGGTACCGATAAAAAAAAAAAAGTTGACTAAAGTTAATTTTTTTTTTTATCGGTACCAGGCATCGAACTCACAACCACACACTTGCAAGGCAGGTGCTTATGCCACTGAGCTAAATCCCCAGCCCCAAAGTCAATTTTAAAAAAGTAATTGAAAGTAGGTGAAACTAGAGGGTTTGTTCAAGTTCCCCCTCAGTTGCTGTCAGGGTTTCTTGGGTGTGCGGAGGAGGATCCATCCCTGAGGCACTGTGCCCTTGGGTGGGGGGGATTCTTCTACTGTTAGGAAGCTGAGCCTGACTGGAGATGGCCTGATGGGGTGTAACCTGCAAGGTCATTTTTCGCCCTGGCTCCTCCACTTGGTCTGTGCTTGCCAGCTGCCCTGGGTTAAGCTCCTTTTCCTCTGACACCCTGTTTCTGCTCAGAGCCAACTGACTGTGGACTGAAACCCTGAGCCGAAATAAACCTCTCTTGCTTTAAGTTTTAGGTTTCAGGTATTGTGTCTCCATGGTGGAGAAAGTGGCCAAGACAGGATGTCACTTTCTTCTTTTCCTTCTTTTCTCTGAGTGCTGCGGATGTGGAAGTTGGAGACAAGCCAGGTCTTGAATCTTCTCGACAGAAAAGGAAGGCTACAACGGGATAAGAGGCCCGAGTGGACATGGGGGCAGGAAGTGGGGGAGGCGAGAGGTGGCAGGGTGACAGGGGTTTTAGCCATCATTGTGCAGAGGCCACGACTAATGACCCGCAAGTGGAATCCAACCCATAGGAGCGCGCTGCTTGGATGACACCCTACTTTCAACTGTTTTGAGCCTAATATTTAAAAAGTATATATAGTCATGCACTAAAAAATAACATTTCAGTCGGTGACAGACTCCGTATATTACTGTGGCCCCCCATAAGATTGCGTATCTCCTAGGGACATTAGAGGGACATCTTAGTTTGCATAAATACATGCTCTGATGTTTGCACAACTCCAAAATTGCCTAACAACACATTTTCTAAGAACTTATGGCTATTATTAAGTGTTGGATAACTGTATTGCCTGAAATTCCAAATTTTCCAAAATCCTTGACCAATTAGAGGCTGTGGATGTGGTAAGAGCACTGGTGTTGCTGCGTGGCACTGCCTCTTCCCGTACAGCATCTGCCATATGTTCTGCTCCAGTTTCCATGCTATCGCACCCCTACCCTAGGACACAGAATCATTTGTCATTCACTGCTGGACTGGCACTGTTTTCTTAGTCCTAGTCAGCGCTGCAGCACCTGAATTTTTGACCTTTAGCTAATCTAAGCTCGTCACATAGCAGGAGGAATGAGTTGGGCACCGGAAGGGAAATATCTGGTGACAATGTCAAGTGTATCAGTGCACAAAGTCAGGACCGGCATCCTGGTGCCCCTTCCTTCTGAAGATGCTTTGGCCTGAATCTGTAATGTATTTCCACATGGCAGTGCTGGGAAAGTCCTTTGCTCTGAGATTCTCAGAGGGGACAGAGTCCCAGGACACTATGAGAATTCTCTGCCTCCCATTGGGCCAACTGGTAACTTTGGGACCCCGGACCCAACTCAAGGATCTGGCCATATGGGGTGGGGAACTGGCGTGGGAGCTGGCCATGAATACCCAAGTAGCAAGAAGTGCCTGAAATCAGAGCTCTCTGAGGAAGCATAGAGCACGGGGTGCCTGGAAGGGAGCCAGAGGTGTTGTGGGGCAGAGGGCAGCCATCAGGGGAGAAGGTCTACACTGTGGGTGACCAGGCCCTTCCGCAAGAGTTGGTGACTTCTGCCTTTGGAGGGTGTTTCGCAAGCCCGAGAACGCAGATGTGTGTCTGTACAGGGTGATGTAAGTGATGGGAGCCAGTGGGGACTGGGGACAGGATGTGGGCTCCCACACTACTCACCCACAGCTCACTCACACAGAAGGGTGCGGGTGAGGGGCTGCCTCAGAGACCACCTGACACCGTGTCCTAAAGACAAGTGAGTAGGGGCCTCTGGGGACAGAGCCTGACCTGGGTGAGGGGCAATGTGGGGAGGAGGCTAGGTTTGTGGGAGATGGGAGGCGAGGAATCTCCTGGTCCCCCGGGCATCCTGGTGGAGACCTCAGTGCTGACACCTAACAAACTGGTGGGGCCTCTTGTTCTCTTGTCACTGGTGCCTCCGAAGCTTCATTGCCATTAGCAGAGGCAGGCAATGAGACACAGAGACAGTAGCCTCCATCTGCCCTCCTCAGAGCCCAGTGTCTCTTTCACATGCTCTAAGGCAGAAGACCTGGGTTTGGGTGTCTCGGTGCTCACATGGGAGGAAAGTAATCCTAAACCTCCTCCTGCTCACAAATGGAGGGCTGGGAGGGATGGACCCAAAGGCAGGGGCTAGTGACCTTTATTTCTTCACTTTGACAAGAAGAGGTGGCAGAGGAGGCAGGTGGCTTGGACCCTGGGCTCTAGAAAAAAGCAGGATATTCAGCCTGCTTCCTGGGGCCTCTCTTCAGTGGACAGGAGCCCCCAGAGGCCGCACAAGCCCACCTACGGCTCCATCACCAGCCTGCCACATCCGGAACCAGAGCAAGCTTCTCCCCAGCAGACCTACCTAAGTGAGAAGATCCCCATCCCGGATGCAAAACCGGTGGGAATACTGGGAACTGTGGGGGACTCTCAGGGTTGCCACAGTTCTCTGAGATCTCACAAAGTAGGGGACCGGGCATTTCCTGTGACCATGACCAGTTCTTCCCATTCTGAGCAGCAGTGCCTGTTTGTGATCCCAGCACCTTGCTGGATGACTCCCTGGTTGCCTTAAAAAGGATCAAGAGGCTTTCTGAATGAATCTCATGAAGCTTTCCCATGAAGGGAAAGGGGCCTGGGGTGACCAGGATGAGCCTCTGGAAAGACCTGCTTTCACACAAAAGGCACGGACCCAGGCTCTGGGCTAGAAAGAAACAAAGGAGGCTGCAGGCTGGTGGCTACACACTGCCACCTGCATTGCCAAAATCTCCAGCAGTGTCCTAGGTGGACAGGCCAAGCCCTGGACAAGAGTGTGTGTGGTGGGGTGGGACCTTAGCCTCAGTGAACCCCGAAGAGAAGACTATGTCTGAGAAGGGGCTGGAGAGGGAGAGGCTGGACCTGGAGGCTTGGCCTTCACTAAGCACCAGTCTGGGGCTCTGAGGATGCATTGATCCAAGCCTGCAGGGAGGGGGAAGCGAGGGCAGGTCAGGTACAGGCTGCTGCTGAGGCTGTTGAACGCAACCTGCCCACTCCAGAAAGCAGATCCAGTGACTTAGTGGACCCTGCAGATTCTGTCACCCTATACCCTCCCCTGTGCCCTGGGAGCTATGTTGGCACTCTGGGGGTGGGCAAGGAGGGCAGAGATGGCCTGCAGGGCTGAGCTGAGGACTGACCAAGGCCAGCTGGGGGCAGTTGTACCCAGAACAACCCTACTCACTCTGGCTTCCCACCTCCTTCTCTCTCACCCCACCCCCTGCTCCCCCAGGGCACATTCAGCCTGCGGAAGCTGTGGGCGTTCACAGGGCCTGGCTTCCTCATGAGCATCGCTTTTCTGGACCCAGGAAACATTGAGTCAGATCTGCAAGCTGGCGCTGTGGCTGGATTCAAAGTGACTGAATTGGGGCCAGAGTGAGGTCCTGGAGGGAGGGAGGTGACCAGGCTAAGAGGGTATAGACCCCAGCTTGTCCTGTTTCCCCAGGGTGGTAGCAAGGATGGTTTTCCTGGGCCAGCATCAAGTGCAAACGGGCCAGGAAAGCATTCCCAGGGCAGCCCTGAGCATGGGGGTGGATGGTCTTTCACTTCATCTCTCCTACCCTCTCCCCATGGAGTGTCCTTGCTCAGAAGGAGCCACCTCCTGGGACAACGACCCCTCAGCTGAAGGTCTCCTCTGCCTCCTCACAGCTGCTTTGGGTGCTGCTCTGGGCCACTGTGCTGGGCTTGCTCTGCCAAAGACTGGCTGCCCGGCTAGGAGTGGTGACAGGCAAGGACTTGGCTGAAGTCTGCCATCTCTACTACCCCAAGGTGAGCTTGGGGTGGTGGGCTGGAAAGAAAGCACATCCCAAACCTTGAGTGGCCATTTCTAGCTTCCATGATCAAATAGACCATGACCTAACTGAGGGCTAGTGGCTAGATGCAGAGAATGAGGCTCAGACTAAGGAGGACATCAGAGATTCGAGGCTTGTTCCACAGAATGCAGTGACTTACAGCAGTTTGGGGATGCTTATTGCTGGTCTGAACCTTGGAGATCTTGCAGCTGTCAGTGCCCAGTTAGGAAAACCAAAATCACACCATGAGATTGTTCAAAGGGATTTCATGCAAGCATCTAGTCACTTTAGGTGTTGAAGGGCTTGAGGAGCAAGGGTAAAAGGTGTCATCAAAGCTCAAAAAGTTGCTATATCTCTGGCTGGAACCCAAGAGCCATCACCAGCTGCTGAGTTTCCAGAACCATTGTAAGCCACTGCTGAAAAGATCAAAATGTGACCTGGAGCCCAAGTGGCCTGATGCCCTCACTGGTGTCACATCCAGAAACACCAGCAGAAGCAGGAGGAAAATAGATTCTCTCTCTGACTTCCTGTCTCTGTTTTAGTCAGTTTTCCACCACTATCATGAAATACCAGAGACTGGGTAATTTGGAAAGAAAAGATGAGACAGGAATCCAGGTTTGCTCTAACATAGTAACTCTCTCTTGGGAGCTAACCAGGAAACTGCAGTGTATCCCTTCTGAGGGCAGTACACCTAGTCACCTAGTTACTTTCCTCTATGATTCACCTCTTAAAGGTTCTGCTGCCTCTTAACCTCTCCACACTGGAACCAGTCTTCCAGCACACAAACCCTGGAGGGACACACTGAAGCTATGGCCATAGCCAAACCCATTGCCATGAGCACTTCTCACAAAGCCTAACCAGACACTCACTGGCAAGGCTGGTCTGCAAATAGAGTTTGCAGGCTTCTAGCCCTGCAGCAAATGGGAAGATGAATGTAGGTCTGAGCCGACTAATAAATTGTGCCCATTAATTTTACAAAATACTGGGTTTTAATGTGGCATTTTCATTCATGTATATATTTTGATCGAACCCATCCTTCATGACCTTCCCTTACAGCTCCTCCCTCTTATTTCCTTCCTCTTGTCGAATAATGATCTTCCCCCATTTTCTGTCAACTTTTCTAGCTTCTTCATCTTTATGAGTCTAGCTTATCTCATGTAGTATAATAATCACCACTTTCATCCATTTTCCTGCAAATTACATCATTTCATTCTGTATGGCTGAATAACATCCTACCATGTACATGGACCACATGTCATTATTCACTCATCTGCCAATGGGCACTGAGGCTGGTTCTGTATCTTGGGTATTGTGTATTATGCTGCAATAACCATGGGCATGCAGGCACCCATGCAGTGTTAATATGCTTACTTTAATTCCTTCAAGTATAAACAAGGAGTGGTAGCTAGGTTATAGGGAAGTCCTGTTTTCAGGGTACGTGTGTGGTACTGTGGACCAAATCCCCAGATACTCTGCCACTGGCTACATTTTTATTTAAGTATTCAGATGCGGCTAGACATGGTGGCACAGGCCCATAATACCAGCATTCAGGAGGCTGCAGCAGGAGGATCATTGTGAGTTTGAGGCCATCATCAGCTTCACAGTGAGTTCAAAGCCAGACTGAACAATATAGTGAGACCCTGTCTCACAAAAGCTAAACAAAACAAAATTTCAGACAGGGTCTTCCTACATTGCTCAGAAAGAACTTGAACTTGCAATCTTCCTGCCTCAGCCTCCCAGACTGATGGGATTATAGGTATATGCCATAACACTTGGCTGTCTTTTCAGTTTTTTGAAAGAACTCCATACTAGGGGCTGGGGGTTTAGCTCAGTGGCATAAGCACCTGCCTTGCAAGCAGGCGGTCGTGAGTTCGATAACTGGTACCGGTAAAAATGAAAAAACAAACAAACAAACAAAAAAAAAACAAAAAACAAAAAAAAAAAAAAAAGAAAAAGAAAAAGAAAGAGCTCCATACTGATTTCCACAGTAGCTATGCTAATTTACATCCCACCCCATATAAAAAAGTTCCTCTCGTCCCATAGCCTCATCAGCACTTATTACTATTTTTCTTTCTTCATTTTTCTTTTTCTTTCTTTTTTTCTTTGAGACAGGGTCTCACTATGCAGTTCAGGCTGGCCTTGAACTCACTTTGTATTCCAGGCTGGTCTCAAACTTGCAACAATTCCCTTGCCTCAGTCTCCCAAGTGTTGGGATTACAGGTGTGTGCCAGCATGCCTGGCCCCATGCTGTTTTTGTTACTATGGTTTTGTAGTATAATTAGAATTTAATTACTGGAAGTAATATGGCCATTTTATTTCATTTTTATTAGTACCTTTTTTTTTGGTACTTGGGGTCAAACTCACAACCGAATGCTTCCAAGGCAAGTGCTTACGCCACTGAGCTAAATCCCTGGCCCTTTATTAGTACCTTTTTGCAGTACGTGATTCCATCCACAATGGAGAGTTGGTACACATACACAACACATTTTAATTCTTTTGTCACCTCCTTCTTTTTCCCTTACTCCTTCTGTCTCTTGGACACCTTAGCTTTTGCAAAAGATCTATCTCCCTGTTTCCTATCTTTTATTTTGCTGTTTTACAAGAGAAACGATACAATATTTAAAATAATGTGTCTGACTCATTTCAATTAACATTATGGTCTCAAGGTGTATCCCTTTTCTTACAAATGACTTAAGTTTATCCTTCTTTATAGCTGAGTAGTACTCCATTGTGTATAAATACCACATTTTTTTATCCATTCATCTGTTGATAGACATAGAGGCTACTACTAAGATTCAGTTATTATGAGCTGTGTTGCTACTAGTTGCATGTAATACGCATGTAATATGATGTTTTTAAGTCTTTTGCAAAGATACCCAGAAGGAGAATAACTGGGTCAAATGGAATTTCTAGTTTCAGTTTTTTGAGGCATCTCTATACTAATGTTCAAGGTGGCTTCCTGGTTTACATCCCCATCAGCAATATAAAAAGGTTCCTTTTCCCTCACAACCTCACTAACATTTGTTATAGTATTTTTGGCTGCCTGAGATAGGGTCTTGCTATGTAGTTCAGGCTGCTCTTTTTTTTAATTAAATTAAATTTTAAAAAACTTTTTGTACTAGGGATCAAACTCATGACCTTGTATTCACCAGGCAAGCACTTATGCTGCTGAGCTAAATCCCCAGACCTTAATTTTGTTTTAAATCAAATAAAATAAAACCAAATAAAATAGAATTAAGTCAATTGAAACAAAATAGTGAAAGTGATATAGGACTTCAAAACAGGGTAATGGAATATCAACAATGGCTACCATAATGCCTCTTATTATCTTGAAATTCACTGCCCATACCATCAGACATAATAAAATCAAACAAAGCAGAACACAACTAAAACCAATCAAAACAGAGCATTGAAGAAAACAAAACAATAAAACCGAACAAAATAGCAAGAACATTACTGAATTTCAAAAACAAGACAGAAAGAAATCCCCTATAGTTACTATATTGCATGGTATTATCTTCTTAATAGAATGTCAGACTACTGGCTTTCAGTCTGCAAAGTTAACCAAACAATAGAAGCATTAAATTGTTTTTGTACCTCAATTGTTTATAACTCAGTCTGTGTTCCTCCAAATCAGCCAGTTGCTTGGTGGGGAGAGTGGGATTCTTGTCTCCCAGCCCACAAACCAGCTGGCTCATGGGAAGGATGCATTGTCTTCTTATTTCTCCTCCTGGGACCCACATGGCTTCAAGAAGCTCATGGGAAGGGCAAATCAGTTTAGGCTGTTCCTCAACTCACTATGTAGCCCATGGCCTTGAACTTGTAGTGATTCCCTGCCTCAGCCTCCTGAGTGCTGAGATAGGCAAGTGAACACACCCAGTTTATTATTTGATAGCCATTTTTTTCTGTAGTAAAGTAGAATCTCAATAGTTTTAATTTGCATTTCTCTAAGGGTCAGAAATGAACATTTTAAATGTATTTATTGGCCATTTGTATTTCCTTTTCTGAGATGTGTCTATTCATTTCAGTTGCCTATTTTTTGATTGAAGTTTGTCTTGAACTCACAGTGATCCTCCTGCCTCAGCTTCCCAAATGCTGGGATTATAGGTGCATGCCACCATCCCCAGCTGAAATTGAAGTCTTTATATATTATAGGTTCTATTCTTCTGAGAAATAACGGCAAACTTTTTTTCTCATTCTGTAATTGTCTTTTCACTGTTTGTTGTGTAATATGGCATCTTAACAATATTTATGGTCATGGGAGGTTTTCCATCTTGTACTGTCTTCAGTTTCTTTCCTCAGTGCTATTTTTCGTCGTACAGGTCTTTTGCCTCAGTGGTTATGCTGGTATTTTAATTTTATTTTTGAAGCTATTGGGAATGAAATTGTCTTCCTGATTTCTTTCTCAGCTTGTTATTTGTGTATAGAAAAGTTATTGATTTTGTAACGATGGCTTTGTATCCTGACAATTTACTGAATGTAGGAACATGTTCCCCCATAGGTGCCCCGTATCCTCCTCTGGCTGACCATTGAGCTGGCCATTGTGGGCTCAGACATGCAGGAGGTCATCGGCACAGCTATCGCACTCAATCTGCTCTCTGCTGGACGGTACCACGTCAGGGCGCATCTGTTCTCAGTCCAAAGCTGGAAAGAGCTGTGTCCCTCCCAAGTGCCTTTTGTCCCACTGTCCCTCTGACATAGACAGGACTGGCTCTATTTTTGGGGAATGTAAAGTGTCTCCTCTGAAGTCCCACAGATCGCAGGCACTCAGCCTGCAGCACTGCAGCGTGAGCCTTGCCCTGCCTGGTCGCTCACCTGGTTTTGCCCTTCTTGGGGTTCTCTGCACCATTTCCCACATACCCCATTCTGTTAGCCCTTCTGTCCAGGCCTTGGCTCCCCGCTCGCAGGAGGCAGGATTCCCCCAGTCTCTAACCCTGAGGGTGGGGTGGGAGTCCTAGACCCTGGGGAAGCTGGGCTGACCCAGGCTGTTGTGCTTTCAGAATCCCACTCTGGGGAGGGGTCCTAATCACCATCGTGGACACCTTCTTCTTCCTCTTCCTGGATAACTACGGTGAGTGCGGCCTCTGTGGGCGGAGCCTGAGAACGGGCTTCCCTGGAAGGGGTGTGGCTTCTGCTAACCCACCTGTGCGGCTTCTGTTTCTTCATCAATGACGGGTGAGGGGGGTAGAGAAAAGCACAGATGTCACGGGGCGGTGATAGCATAGATCATCCCTTGACACACTGCCTGCAGCAAAGTGCTCAAAATATTGGCCATTATAATCATCGTTCATGTTACAGGGATTTGAGTTTGTTCTGTCCCTTTGCTATGCCCCTAGGGTTGCGGAAACTGGAAGCTTTTTTTGGATTCCTTATTACCATTATGGCCTTGACCTTCGGCTACGAGGTGGGAAGTCCCACCTGCACCCCCACCCCCACTCCTTCTCTTCCTTCCTCCAGCATGGTGGCCCCAAGGGTGGGGGAATGGCCCTTACCCAATCCCCCTGGCTGTCCCAATTTTGGGAGAATCTGGAATTCAGAACCGGTGTCAGCGTGGGGGGCTAACCAGGCTCTCACCCACAGTATGTGATGGCGCGTCCCGAGCAGGGGGCGCTTCTTCGGGATCTGTTCCTGCCCTCTTGCCAGGGCTGCGGCCAGCCCGAGCTGCTGCAGGCCGTGGGCATTGTCGGCGCCATCATCATGCCTCACAACATCTACCTGCACTCAGCCCTGGTTAAGGTGAGAGGACTGGAGGGGAGGAACAAGCTGGCCCTGTCTTGGAGCCTGGGCCTTCTGCCAGCTGGCTCCTTCCTGCAGGATTTTAGGTGACAATTGAATCAGTGTCTGTTTATTCAACCTCAAATAATGAGGTACTCGCCAGGGTGTGGTGTTAGATGCCTGTAATCCCAGCTCTCAGGAGGCTGAGGCAGGAGGATTGTTGTGATTTGAGACTAGCCCAAGCTACAAAGTGAGCTCAAGGCCAACATGAACTGCATAATGAAACCCAGTCTCAAAACAAAACAAAATCAAAGTCCTTGTCCTCCTGAGCTTGAATGATTCTAGTGGAGATGGAAGAAGGAATTTGTGATGGAGGGAGAAAGATTCTCTGATGGAAACACAAAGAAAAGAATGGTAGATGGTGACTGAAGGATAGGGAGGAGCTTTTTGCAAGCAGAGGAAACAGCAAGTTCAAAGGCTCAGAGGCAGCAATAAACCAGAAGGGTTTGAGGGTGGAGTTTGTGAATAAAGGAGAGGGTCCTAAAGGCTGAGTTAGAGGGACCTCAAAGGTCAGCCTTTCTTCCTTCATGAGGTTGGTCCCTGTAGACCACACTGACATGAGTCGTGAACCAGACTGCCACACAGGGAACTTTAAAAAGGGTTAAGGGGGCCTGGGGATTTAGCTCAGCGGCATAAGCGCCTGCCTTGCAAGCAGGCAGTCGTGGGTTCAATCACTGATACCGATAAAAAAAAGGAAAAAGACAAAAATAAATAAATAAATAAATAAATAAATAAATAAAAAGGGTTAAGGGCCAGGTGTGATGGTGGAAGCCTCTATTCTATCAGGCACACTGGGAGGCTGAGGCAGGGGGATAGGAGGTTCTAGCCCAGCCTGGGTGATGGTGACTTAGTGAGACACTGTCACAGTGAAAAATAAACAAAGACTGGGGATATAGCTCAGTGCGAAGGTCCTGGGCTCAGTCTCTGGTACCAATAAACAAGGAGTTGGGGTTTGAAGGGAACGTGGGTAGAAGTCCAAGCTGGGGACAGTGAGGGACCCTGAAGGATTTAGGCCCTTTCCTTCCTCTCCGGCATTCATAGTCTCGGGAGATAAACCGAGCCCACAGGGCGAACATCCGGGAAGCCAACATGTACTTCCTGATCGAGGCCGCCATCGCCCTGTCTGTGTCCTTTGTCATCAACCTCTTCGTGGTGGCTGTCTTTGGACAGGCCTTCTATCAGCAAACCAACCAGGATGCGGTGAGACCCCTTTTCCCAGGCCTGCTCAGCTCCATACACGTGATGCTCTGGAGCTGCGCTGGGGACCAGGCAACATGGCCACCTGCCTCCTTCTGAGTCCCTGCCCTGGGCTCCAGGCTCCAGGTCCTTTCTCCTGATAATCTTATTGTCAGAAGAGAAGCAGTCTTTGTGAGCAAGTCATTACTGAGCATCTGAGATAGACCAGGCAGCTCCTAGATCCTTGGGCAGACAGGGTGTGTGTGTGTGTGTGTGTGTGTGTGTGTGCGCGCGCGCACAGAGACAGGAGACAAACCAGTGTTACAGGAGCACAGAGAAATGAAGGTGTTGGCAAAGCACAGATTGGGCATCAGGGTTGGGGTGGCCAGGAACGGCTTGCTGTTGGAGGTCACACTTTGTGGTGTCTGAGCAGGAGCCAGAGCAGGAGCTCTCTCTAAATCTCTGGGATTTGGATCTGTGGTTTGGAGTGGGGCCTGTCCCAACTGCCAGCCACTGTTGGGTGCTTAGTGAACAATGAGCTTTGTTGGGGAGGCATGGCCAGGTCACCTGAGACAACTGGCTTTGCTCTGTGACCTGGGGTGGTGACTCACACCCCTCCCTTGGTCTCACCCTGTTCCTTGGCACAAGGAGAGATTGAGTAGTGATTGAGAGGTCTTGTCTTCAAGGCTGTGAGGAAGACAGAACCACCCAGCTCTCCGTGGCCATTCCAGATCTTACAAACCCACGAGAGACTGGAAATCAAGTTCCCTGTGAATTGTTCCCATTTTTTTTTTTTTTTTATCTTTTTCCTTTTTATTGGTACCGGGGATCGAACTCACGACTGCCTGCTTGCAAGGCAGGCACTTATGCAGCTGAGCTAAATCCCCAGCCGAATTGTTCCCAATTTTAAACATTGGCAACGAATTCACATTAAAGAAAACAAGTCAGGACCCAGGTATGGTGGTGCATGTCTGTAATCCCAGCACTTGAGAGGCTGAAGCAAGAGGATTGTTTCTTGAGACCAGCCTGAGCTACAAAGTGAGCTTAAGGCCAGCCTGAACTGCATAGCAAGACCCTATCTCAAAAAGACAGAAAAAGAAAACAAATCAGAGGCAGTGGTGCGCTCCTGTAAACCCAGCACTCTGGGAAGCTGAGACAGGAAGACTGTCAGGTTCAAGCCGGGCCTGGACAACTTAGTGAGGCCCTGTCTCAGTGTCAAAATAAATAAATCGGGCTGGGCTGTAGCTCAGAGCGAAGGCCCTGGATTCAATCTCTAGTTTAGAAAAAGAAAGGAAGGAAAGGGAGATGGAAGGAAGGGAGGGAAGAGAGGGGAAAAAGAAGAAAAAGGAAACAAAAAAAGAGAAAGACAAGAGGGAGGGAGGGAAGGGGGGGTTATGGGGCAGGAAGCAGCCCCCGGGCCACCGGTTTAGAGCTGATTTTCCAAGACTGTGTTCATTTCCCATCTCCTTGCTGCTGGCCCGCAGTTCAACGTCTGTGCCAAGAGCAGCCTCCGCGACTACGCCAAGATCTTCCCCAGGGACAACCGCACGGTGTCGGTGGACATTTACCGAGGAGTAAGCGCCGTCCCAGGGCACACGGAGGGCGGGACTAACGTGGCTCCCGCCACGCCTCGGAGGCGGAGCCTCGTGGTGAGCGGGGAGAGATCTGATCACACCCACCCCTCCCTGTGCAGGGCGTGATCCTGGGCTGCTTGTTTGGCCCCGCGGCTCTGTACATCTGGGCGGTGGGTCTCCTGGCTGCGGGGCAGAGCTCCACTATGACCAGCACCTACGCGGGGCAGTTCGTGATGGAGGTGAACTTGGGGTGTGAGAGGGGCCTGTGTGTGGCTCAAGGAGGCCAGGCATGTTCCTGGGGCTCTCATCGACGCCGGGCCTTGCTGGTCCTTAGGGGCAGCCCAGAGCGCGGCGCTATAAGTCCCACTTTACAGACCAGAAAACTGAGCTCCCGAGAGGTGGGCCAGGCAGCCTCAGAAGCTGCAGGTGCAGGCCAAGCACCTCCCAAAAGCCATTCAGTCTTTCCCACATTCCTCCATCCATGCCCTGTCCACTGGTTACGCACCAAGCCACTCCCATTTCAGAGACAGGAACCCAGTGTCCTTCAGGTGGGAGGTGGGCCGAGAGTCAGAGGGTACCTCTTCAGGAACCCCCCAGGCTGCCCCCGTCAAGGTGCCCACCCCCACCCAGGGCTTCCTGAAGCTACGGTGGTCTCGCTTCGCCCGGGTCCTTCTCACGCGCTCCTGCGCCATCCTGCCCACCGTGCTGGTGGCCATCTTCAGGGACCTGAGGGACCTTTCGGGCCTGAACGACCTGCTCAACGTGCTGCAGAGCCTGCTGGTGAGGCCAGGGGTTAAACAGAACCCTAAAACTCCCATCTCCAAAGCCACTTTGCCTGTGAGACCCCGCCCCCACCCCCAGAGGTACACACAGCCGTCCAGGGTAGAGATCACCCTTCTAGTTTACAGTTGGGAAAACTGCACCAAGTTAGGTGACCCTGGCAGAGCTAGGCTTCACATGCAGGCAGTGAGCAGGCAGGCTCCTAGCAGCCGGGGACTCCAGGCAGAAGCTGTGGAGCCCCGCTGTTCCTCCCCTTGCTGGAGGAGCCACCAGTCCCTCCACTCAGCCTGGAGTTCTTCGCAGCTTCCCTTTGCTGTGCTGCCCATCCTGACCTTCACCAGCATGCCGGCTGTCATGCAGGAGTTCGCTAATGGCCGGTGAGTACTCCCATGATCTGGGTGAAGCAACTGAGGCTCAAAGAGGTCAAAGAGTTTGCCGAGGAACTGACATGGTATCGAGTGCCTGTAATTCTTACAATCTGGGAGGCTGAAGCAGGAAGATGACGAGTTCCAGCCCAGACAATTTAGCAATTTAATGAGACCCTGTCTTAGAAAACAGAACTAATGAAAAGGGGAAAAGCGCTGGGAATGTACCTCAGTATGAAGGCTCTACGTTGGATCCTCAGTGGCTAAAAAATGAATGAAAGAACTTGCCCTGGGTCGCAGCTGGCCAGGGGTGGGAAAGGACAGGAATCTAGGCGGGGACTGTTTTTGGAGCTTGCCCTCACCTCTTATCAATTCCTGCGGGATCCGTCTACCCTTGGCCCACAGCCCAGAGAAGAAGGCTTTGTGTGCCCTGTCCCCAGCTTCAGGCCAGCTGGGCTACCGGGCAGAGGAAAAGGTGATGCCTGTGATTTACAGTCGTCTCTCTCCTTTACCCAGGCTAAGCAAGATGGTCACCTCCTGCATCATGGCCCTCATCTTAGCCATCAACCTGTACTTCGTGGTCAGCTACCTGCCCAGCCTCCCCCACCCTGCCTACTTTGGTCTGGTGGCTGTGCTGGCTGCAGCCTACTTGGGCCTCACTGCCTACTTGGTACAGTAGGATCTGGGGAACCTGGGGGAGGGGGAGGGGGAGGGGAACAGAGCACCCTGGAGCTTTCCCAGAGGTCCCAGCCTCTCCCGCACTCATGGTTGCTCCTCCCCCAGGCCTGGACCTGTTTCCTGGCACTTGGAGCGGCCTCTCTGACCCACAGGTCCCACCAGCACTTCCTGTATGGGCTCCCTGAAGAAGAGCAGGAGGCTGGAGGGAGCTCTGGGTGAGCCCCCACGCAGGGCCTGGGTAGGAGGTGGCCGGAGGGAAACGGACTGGCTTGCTGACACCCAGGGTAGCATCCAGACACTTTGGGAGGTTGGCCCACTAGGGTCCCTAGCGACTTGCTGTTTTTCAGTTTAGATACATACTTCACCTCTGGGTCTGTCTCAGTGTAAAACCAGGACAACCACCACTTCGACATCAATGTAAAGCACTTAACACGGTGCTTAGTACTTGTGGCTTTAAGAAAAAAATCATTAAAAATATTTATTGACCACAGGCGTGGCAGTGCAGGCCTGTAATCGGCACTCTGAAAGGCTGGGGCAGGAAGATCACAAGTTCAAGACCAGTCTAGGCAATTTGGCAAGACTACCTCAGAATAAAAAAGGGCTGGGGATGCAGCTCAGTGCAAAGGTCCCAGCTTCAATCCACAGTAGGAAAAAAGAAGCAAGCAAGCAAGCAAGCAAGCTCACTTTCACAGCACATATACTAAAATTGGAACATAACACAGATTAGCGTGGCCCCTGTGTAAGGATGACTCGAAAATTCGTGAAGCGTTGGGGGAGGGAGGACAGTGAGCACTTATAAGAATGACCCCTTCCCCCCTCCCCAAAAGACTGAACATTTACAATAGTGACCCAACACACACGTGGGGCTGACAAAGCAGAACCTTACAAACGCTGAACAAATACCGGCTTCCTGCGGCTCACGCCTGTAATCCCAGCACTCGGAAGGCTGAGGCGGGAGGATCATTGCGAGTTTGAGACCAGCATGGGCTACAAAGTGAGCTCAAGGCCAGCCTGAACTGCATAGTGAGACCCCATCTCAAAAAAGACAAGAAAAAAAAAAAATACCAGCTTCCAAAGACCTAGGAAAAGGAATCCATATTTAGTAAGGCTCGAAATTTAAAGCCCGAGAGCCCCTCAAGTGTGTGGCTGGGTTGGGCTCTTGGCAGCCTTGTCTGCACCTATAACCCATTTCCCGGCAGTAAAACCAGGCGTGACTCTCAGGCGCCAGGTCATTAGGAACCCAGAGTTCGTGCCTTCCAGGCCCAGGTCCTTCCCATCTCCCCAGGGGACCCGGAGGACCGTACTCCCACGCTGCGTGGTTAACGCTCAGTCTGCGCTGGCTCCCGGCTCCCCCTAGAGGCAAGGACAGTCCCGAGCGCCCGCGCTCAGGCCTGGGCTTTAGCCCTTGGGGCCTAGCGGAAAGACCAGTTTGGCCCGAACCGGAATCTTGAGCCGGGGGCCGCAGAATCTTCCCTAGCAAGGAGGTGTAGGGTAGCTGTGTGAGCAGGGGAACCCACTCCTCCACCCGGAGCTGCCCGGCACTCCTTCGCCCAGTGCGGAGGCTATACTTTACAGACGCTCCCTAGACTGTTTCTAGGCTCCCCTAACTCCCACCTCCTAGCTCCTCTGGTCTTTCGGACCCCAGCCTGGAAGCCTCGGAGAGCAATACCGGGGTGGGGCACCGGGGCACCAAACCTTTCCCAGGAGTTATGCCTGGGGCAGGTGGAGTGCTTGCTCGTGCCCCGATTTTCCCGGGCCCAGCCGGGCGAGCGGCAAGGCTCCGAGCTCGGGTTGAAATGCTTGTTTATGAGAAGAATTTCCTCTTTCTTAAAAGGGCAACGATGAGTGTGGGGCCCGCTAGGAGATGAGGGATAGGACTGGTTTTTATGCAACTGTGGCAGCTGCTCGAGAGCGTGCAGAAACAAGAGGGCCGCCCACCCCTTCCTTCAGGCTTGCCCCTGTAGACAGTGGGACCTACGCAGCCAAAGAGTCGTGCGGTAGTGAGGAAGGCCATCGCCTAGATCCTCCTCCAGATGGACACACGTGGTTCCTTCATGGAGTCACTTGGCATCAGCTGGGTGCAGGTTCTGTGCCCAGCCCCATGCCAGAGGCGGAGAGGGAAGCAGAGCCCCAAATTAAAGCCGTGAGCTGTCAAGTTCATAATCTGGGGTAAAGGATGAGTCGGCCGGCAAGAGGAGGCTAAGGGCATCTGACCCTGACCCTGACCCTGACCGAGTAAGGCTGGGGTCAGAGAAGATGACTCATGTAGTGAGATTTGCAAGAAAAAAAAGAAGAGTGACAGGTCCACGAAAGAGAGTGGCAGAGGCTCTAGAGCCCGTGGAGCGAGGCGGAGAGGCTTGGGCAGGGTCGCCACAGGCACAGTGCGCTCGGGACTTGGAAAGGGTTCCGGAGAGACAGGCTCGGCTAAGAAGCAGCGCTGCCCCTGGGCCAGGGGTCCGCCACTAGCGCAGGACAAACTCACGCTGGGCCTCAGAGGCCCTCACCTCCAGAGCAGCCCCCAAGGTTGCCCTAATGCTTCCTACAGGCCCTACGAAGGGGGGCAGGAAGCCTGGCGAGGGTGCAGAAGGCTCGAGGCCTCCGCTGCCAGGCAGAATCAGCTGAGTCGTGCCCCCCCCCCCGCCGCCCCCGAGGCGAGCGATAAAACATACAAATGGAGACAGCAGGTGGTGGGGACACGCTCACACGCAGAGAACCCCCTTCACCCTTCAACGCGCCCCCCTGGCAGAGCCCCCGGCAGCTCGTAGGGGTCCACAGGGATGCCAGGGAGTGGGCTGCCCTGCCCTGCCCGGTTCTCTGACCTGCGCAGCTCGCTGGGTTCCAGCCCCTTCTGCCCCAGGAAAGAATCAGGGAGAAGGAGGCGACTGCACCGCCCTGGAGGCCAGGGGCAACGCTAAGCGGTGCGTTCTATCCCTGACCCCACATTGCCTTTTGGGGTCCGTGCGGGTCGGACCCAGACGGGCGCTGCTAGCTCTGGGAGCAAGGCTGTGTCCCGCAGGGTCTGGCTGGAGGGGCTGGGCTTGTCGCTTCTCTTCCCGGAGTTTGGTTTTCTTAGCTGTCACATCGACTACGAAGGGGGTCGCTCCTAACTGTAAGGGAGATTGTGGGCGCTGCCAGATCACACCCTGACGACACGTGGGCGATGAAGCTGATAAAGTGCTAAGGTGGCGGCCGTGTAGATGCTCTGAGCTCCGGAAGGGGTCGGGGTACGCCCCCGACGCCCCACTCCGCCCCTCCCCGCCCCGCCCGCCTTGGGCCTCCCGTCCGTTCCCCCAGCAGCCGGGGCAGTCAGATGGACTGGCGCCCAGCGCTAGAGTCTTACGCCTAGCAGCAGACGCACCAGCCCCGCCTCGCTGCGGGGGCCGCGAGGAAGTGCTGAGGCGTGGCTGTCAGTACTCAGCGTTACTATTACTTTTAAAATTATGAACACAAAAATTAGGAAGGAACCTCCTAAATGGGTCGTCCGCCCCCACCCCCGCGCAACGCGCAGACTTCAAGGCGCTCTTTGAGCAAGGAAGTGAAAAAGTCAGAGCCACCGCACTTACCTGCAGGGTGTCCCACAGCCCCGCGGGAGCCTGTGTTTTTAGAACCCTTAAACAGTTGATAGTGGTTCCGCTGAGCGCTCGAAGCCAGCACCCTCGGATCATCTCGGAATGGTCGGCGTTCCGGGGCTGGGATGGGGAGGCCTCTGGACAAGGGTGGTGGAAGAGAGCGTGTTTCAAGCAGAGGGAACGGAGTAGACCAAGGCCTTGGCGGGGGAGATGCCCGCTCCTCCCTGCGAGAACACGGGTGACGTGGGGACCTGGGGGTGGATATGCGGGGCAACCGGCGAGGCAGTGAAAGAGTAGTAATTTTCACACTCTGTAGACCAGGGTCACTCCATCCGAGCCCGCAGTGGCTGGACACAGGTAAAAAATATAATTCTGTGGGTTTACACAGCTATTATAGGATGTTTTGGTTTTGGAATTTTTTTTTTTTTTTGAGACACGATCTCGCTGTATAGTCCGGGCTGGCCTTGAACTCACTTATGTAGTCTAGGCTGGTCTGAAACTCACGGCAATTCCATTGCCTTGGCCTCCCCAATGCTGGGATCACAGGCATGCGCCCCACACCCCGCTTCGCTCAGGTAATTGGAGCCACAGGTAGTACTGGAGCCTTCGATCGCTCACAAAGTCCCCACGAAGTGGCTCTTGCCAACTTCAGACATAAAACCCGTCTGACAAATAAATTAGCGTTATCCCATGTTTCAGATGAGTTAACCAAGAAGTGACTAGTGCTAAGCTCTCGGAATCCGCGGAGCCCGCGCTGCGCCGCCCTCGAGCGGCCGCTCCCGGGCCTGGGCCCCGAGGTTCGGTGTCCTGAAAGGTGGGCCGGGTGTCGCCCTGCCACGCAGCCGCAGAGCCTCTGTCTCGCCGGCGGGCGGTAGGGAAGGAAGCGACGCCCCCTGGAACGCCGCAGGAACCCCGCCCGGCCCGCCTCTCCGCCCGCGGAGCCGTCCCGGCCCCAGAAGTGATGAAAGCCGCAGCCGAGTCCAGATCACGCTGAAAGCCGTTGCCCTTTTAAGGGGGAGCCTTGAAACAGAGCCCGGGTTCCATGTTTGCATCCGCCTCGCGGGGAGGAAACTCCATGTTGTAACAAAGTTTCCTCCGCGCCCCCTCCCTCCCCCTCCCCCTTAGAACCTGGCTCCCCTCCCCTCTGAAGCTCGCGGGGATCCCTCCCTCCCACCCCTCCCCTCCCCCCCGCGCCCCGATTCCGGCCCGAGCCGGGGGGGAGGCCGGGCTCCGGGGCCAGAGTCCGGCCGGAGGGGAGCGCGCCCGGCCCCATGGACAGCTCGGCCGTCATTACTCAGATAAGCAAGGAGGAGGCACGGGGCCCGCTGCGGGGCAAAGGTACTGAGGTGGCGGGGAGGGAGATGTAGACCGCGCGCGGCATTGGTGGAGGAGGGAACCGGGGTCTGTCCCTACGCAGCAGCCGCCGCCACCACCCCGGGCACCCGCCCTGCTTGGGTCGGAGCTCCGGGCCCGAGAGCGGAGAGGGCAGAGTTTAAACCCAAAAGAGTCTCGGAGACGCGGGGCGGGGCCTGGTGCCTCTAGTGCACTCTGGTCTGCTCGGGTTGGGAAACTGAGGCTGGGATAAGGAGGGGGACTCTGTAGAGAATGTTGCGGCCCCCCCCCCGCGCGTTGGCGCCAATAGGGCTGCGAGTTGGGGGGTGAGGTGGCTGCCTTCGAGCCACTCGCTGAGACTCCGCCCCTCAGTACTTTGGTCGTGTGGGGTCTTGGGAAGGGGCATGGAGGTGACAGCCGGCCGAGGAGGCTTGGAGGTTCTCCCGCCAGCAGGCAGCCACTTTCCCACAAACTTCCGCGTCACGCGTGGGGGCGCTCAGCACCTCCGTGGCAGGCGGGCCGGCACGTCAACCAGGTCTTGCGCGCCCTCAGGGACAGCTTTGTGCCTGGTGGGGGATGCGGCCCCGAGGCTGCAGACCATGGTGCCTAGGCTGTGCATCCATGCACAGACCTGGGCACTCCCATCCAGGCTGCGCCCGGGCGGGGAAACTAGGGTGAGGGTCCCTCCTTGCTCAGTGGCCCTCGGAGCCTGGAAGTCCTCGCTGATCTACCCTCTTCCCGCCTGGGCCTAGCTGGGCCTGGGCAGGGGCGACGGAGGGCGGGTCTGTCAATCAGCGGCCACAGCCCGCTGCAGGTCCTAGGTCTGGGCGGGGAGGGGGCGGAGCGAAGGTGGGGCGGGCAGATGGCGGCGGGACACTGGCCTCAGGCCTTGGGACTGCCACCCCCTGCCTCTCTGGACTTTGCACCCACGGGGTGGACAGGATGGAGGGAGAGTGGGAGTGGGTGACGGGGCCCCAGGCCCTGGGCCTCCTGAGCAGAGGCCACCCAGGTAAGGTGGGCAGGTAATCCAAGGCCGTGAGAGTAACACCGTCCCCTGCGTCTCCCCTGCGTCGCTTCCTTTGTAGCCATACTGGACTCCCAGGGCGGCCCCCAGCAGGCGCATTTCAGGGTCAGAGTCACTTCCCGGGACCTCCCTAAAGGAAGGGGGCGTGGCTAGGCCAGCCCGGGGTGCGCACCTGGGCTGCCTGCTCTGCAGATCAGTGTGTCCCTGTCCCCAACCTGGGCCTCCCTGCTCCAGGTGACCAGAAGTCAGCCGCTTCCCAGAAGCCCCGGAGCCGGGGCATCCTCCACTCGCTTTTCTGCTGTGTCTGCCGTGAAGATGGGGAGGCCCTGCCTGCCCACAGTGGGGCACCCCTGCTGGTGGAGGAGAACGGTGCCATCCCCAAGGTGTGTGGGGGGCGGGGCAGCAGGGGCACCCAGGCTCGGTTGGGAGGGCGCTTAGGGGGAAGAGGCCTCTTGGAGACTGTGCCACAGGTTCAGCACACCGGGAAGGTCAGAAGAGGGGAGCCTCACTTCCAAGCCCTGCTCTTTGCCTGCAGGCCCTCAGGGCCTGGTTGTCTGCCTCAAGACTGCTGCCCACTAGTAGAATTCTGAGTGTCTCCTCCTAAATGAACAGTTCTCTGAGTGGGGAAGTAGGGCCTAGAGTGTTGGCAGGGCCAAAGCTGGGAAGGGGATGGGATGGCCACCAGGGGAGGCAAGCCCCTGTAGGAGGTACCCCTACCAGCCCCACCACTCCTCTCCCCACAGCAGACCCCAGTGCAGTACCTGCTCCCTGAGGCCAAAGCCCAGGACTCAGACAAGATCTGTGTGGTCATCGACCTGGATGAGACTCTGGTGCACAGCTCCTTCAAGGTAGGTACTGCCCAGCAGCCCTCGGCCCTGCACCTGTGGTGGGGTGCCCTGGCTGGGGAGGGAGGTCTCTGCTGGGCCCTGGGGCTGCCCATCCTCCTCCAGTAGCTCTTTTCCCCCCTGCAGCCGGTGAACAATGCCGACTTCATCATTCCGGTGGAGATTGATGGGGTGATCCACCAGGTAAGGGGCAGAGAAGGAGATGGTGGCCTTGGCATTTGCCTCCAGAGTCCGCATTCCTCCTACCAATCTGGAGAGAGTGCCACATGGGATTTTGATAAACCTGGAATGGTAGAGGCCCAGAGAAGGTGTGAGACTTGCTGAGGTCACACAGACCCTCAGGAACTTGGCCGACTCCAAGCCTCTGGCCTTGCTGTGCCCTCTCGCCCCGCATCCCCTTGCCCGGGACCCAGTTCAAGTAATTCAGGATAGGTTGTGTGCTGTCCAGCCTGTTCTCCATTACTTGGCTCGGGGGCCGGCGCCCTGCAGCCTTGGGGTGAGGGGGCTGTCCCCAGGGTCCTACATCTTTTGAGGCCAAGGTGGGGGAAGAGACCAGGAATTTAGTGACTTTCCAGATGGGATCTGCAGCCAGTGGGCTTGAAGCTTATCTGGACCCTCTGGGACACTGGGCAGTTGGGACAGCTGCCAAGGGATGCCACAGGCCCTGGCTCCTCTACCTTTTCCATCATTCCCCACCAGCCCTCTGCCATCCCTCCCCTGCCCATGGCCACAGCCCCTCACTGGCCCACCCCCCAGGTCTACGTGCTGAAGCGGCCCCACGTGGACGAGTTCCTGCAGCGAATGGGTGAGCTCTTCGAGTGTGTGCTGTTCACCGCCAGCCTGGCCAAGGTGAGCCCCGGCCAGGGGTGTGGGGTAACCTTGTCCTCCCATCTGCCTCCAGCATGCAGCCAGATGGAGCCCCGGGCCACTCCCAGCCCCTGGATGACCCACCTCCCATCCCCAGTATGCAGACCCAGTAGCTGACCTGCTGGACAAGTGGGGAGCCTTCCGAGCCCGGCTGTTCCGAGAGTCCTGTGTCTTCCACCGGGGGAACTACGTGAAGGACCTGAGTCGGCTGGGCCGAGACCTCCGGCGGGTGCTCATCCTGGACAACTCACCGGCCTCCTATGTCTTCCACCCAGACAATGCTGTGAGTGCTGTAAGGCCACACAGGGCCAAGCCTGCAGGAGGGACGAGCCCCTGCAGGCTGCCGTGGCCTCCACAACCCCAGATCCAGTGGTTCCCATACATTCCTTTTCCTGTGCTTGGTGACCTGTCACCTGATGCTGCTGCCTGGTACTTGGTTAACTGGTTCATTTCACCTGAGTGTGGATGGCACCTGCCACCAGGCAGTGGGACAGCTTTGGCTTTTCAGAGTGCGAGCTGTGATTTGTTAATGGGCCACAGAATAAATGTGATGAGTTCTGGTTGGGATTTTTAACAGTGAGTGCTTGGCATGCAGTCAGTTGAAGTGTTGCTCTGTGAAACTTTTGTTATATGTATTTTACTGGGAGTCGCTATCAGAACGCAGGTACTGTGGGCAAGGGCTTCTCTAGAGCTGGGCAGCCCATGGGTGCCTCTGGTTGGCCTGGGCATTTAGCACTCTGGCCTGCCTGTATCCTCACCTCCCTCTCCATCTCCCCAGGTTCCTGTGGCCTCGTGGTTTGATAACATGAGTGACACTGAACTGCACGACCTCCTCCCCTTCTTCGAGCAACTTAGCCGAGTGGACGACGTGTACTCAGTGCTTAGGCAGCCTCGGCCTGGGAGCTAGTGAGGCGCCACGGGGCCAGGACCTGCCCCTGGCCAAGGCTGGCACTTCCTGCCACGCAGACTGTGGGTACTTGCCTGTCCTCTTCCTTAAGAGAACCTGCGGGCTGCACCGTGTTCACGGCCCTGGGGAAGCAGGCATCTCCCCTGTCAGCCCCACCAGGCTGCACCAAGGACAATGAGCCCCTGGGCCAGAGTCAGTGCCTTCAAACCTCCTCTCCCCATTCAGGGGGTCTGGGGGCCTGCCTGCTGCTCCCCCTTTCTGTCTTTTCTCCATGCTGCCATGTTTCTCTGCTGCCAAATCAGGCCCCTTAGCCCTACCTAACTCTGCTTCAGGGGTGGAGGCAGGGTTTCTGACCCCACCCCGGGAACAGTGGACACCAAGTGCCTTGCATAGACTCTCTTCCCATCAGCTTTCCCAGGGACAGGGACACAGCCATCATCCTGCCGGCTCCTGTGGGAACAGCACAGATGGCTACACTCTAGGCTGGTGCAGGCAGAACCAGTCTCTACCCTGCCCACCTTCTGCCTGGGGACTGATAGAGTGACCAGCAGTTTCTGGGGTAGCAGCCCACTTCTCCAAGGCTGACCAGCTGCTCCCCACATCACCCAACCCTGGACCCCCTACTTCTGCCTTAACTACCCCAAGGTCTTGGCAGCTTGGTTCCCCAAGTTCCAAGTACAGGGGTCATAGGTAGGATTCCCCTTGCGGTGCCATATAAATATGTATATGTGTATATAGATTTTTAAAGGAAGGAGAGGGAAGGGTTGGGGTAGACACACCCTTCCCTCACCCCTTTCCTGGGCCCAGAAATTGGGGGGAGGGAGGGAAAGGATTTTTACATTTTTTTAAACTGCTTTTTTCTGAATGGAACAAGCTAGGCCAAGGGGGCTCAGGCACTGTCCTCTGTCCCTCACACCCCCTTTGCTCCGTTCATTCAAAAATACTCTTTGAGCACCTTCCATGCCCAGCAGTGTGCTAGGTCCACCAGCTAAGTGGGGGGACTCCATCCCTAATTGGTGCCTTTCCCCACCCACTCTAGGATTCACAGGTGCCTTCAAGGTATCTGCAGGAGGTGGGACCTTGGGTTTGGGGGCTCTCCATGAAACCTGGCCAAGCTGTCCCCCTCCCCTGTGCCAACCTACTCCCTGCAGCCTCCTCTGACCCCCTACTGGCTGGAGGGCCCCTCCCCACAGGACTTCTTGCCTTACAACTTTAACTTGTTTCTGACCCCCGCCCCCACACCAGTGGAGTCCGGAGATCAAACCCTTGGGTTCTCCCCAGGGTCTAAAAGTTAAGGGGACCCACAAACCAGTGCCAAGGGAGTTGGTGAGGGAAAGAGGATACTGGCGACCTGCGTTGGGTGTCCCTCCCGTTTAAGTGCCTTCTCTGACAGCAGTGTGATAAAGAGAAAGCCAGGCCCCCCATCTTGTCTCTGTGGTTTTTGGTCTGTGGCTAGTGACCCGGCTCCAGCAATGCCTGGGAGGGGACAAGAGGAGGGAGGAGCTGCCCAGGCCCCGTGCTTCCCCTGTGAGTGCGGCAGAGCCTCGAGCACAACCTTGGGTTCGTCTTGTGCACGTCAGGTTGCGACGCGGGATTATGGTTCTGCATCTGAGCTTCGGAAGTCCCTCGCAGAAAACTTGGAACTTAGTTACGAAGCAAAAGTAAAATGCGCTGAAAGGGGCGGGGCCTACGGTGGGCGGGGCCTCCCGCGTCGGCGGAGACGGAAGAGCTCGCCGCTCCCTGGCTGACGTGGGCTGACCGGCGAGGTCTTTGGCCTCCCGGTGCCGGGCGGGACCCATCCTGGGGCCGCAGCCTCAGGCCTCTGCGGGTGGAGCCGGCGCCCCACTTCCTGTCCCGCCCCGCAGCCCCTCGGCGCTTCCTCTGCGGACAGCGCCTCCCCGGCCAGGCAGGAAGTGTCCTCAGCCCGCGCCGGCCGCCAAGGGCCTCCCTGGCCTCGCGGACCCGGGGCTCCGGGGCCTGCCCTTGCGTGCCTACGGCACCACCGACGCCCCACCCTTCTGCTCCTGTACCCGAGCCTGCCTCGTTCCCTCTCCTGAAGGCGTGGAGTCCTTCCATGCCCACCCGGGGAAGACGAGGGACGAGTCCATCGCATGTATTGGTTCCTGTCCGCCAGCCCCGCGCCTGACCAGCGTAGCCCCAAGCCCACCTCTTAGAGCTTCAGCAGTTGAGCGCCCCGTTCTGTGTGCGGGATATGCATTGTGCATGGCGCCGCCTTCTTCTCCAACTTCGCCTTGCTCCTGCTCCTTTTACCGGTAGGGAAGAGCCAGGAAGCACCCACTTGGGAAGAGAAGTCTCCAGTACCCTGGCCTCAGCTCTGGTCTGGCTGGACCAGGAGAGGCTCCCCTAGATAAATATCCAGCCCCTGGCCTTGGCCTATCCTGGAGGACCTGCTCTAGTTCCTGCTCTCCATGTAAACGCTGGTTGCTCCAGATTTGCATCCCGGAGGCCCTGAAAGGAGAACACCCAGGTTTGAGTGAGATCATAGTCAGCATTTCCCACCACCACTACCGCACCCAGGCAGAGTTCAGCTTGACCATACTGGGTGATCCCCTGGCAAGGCACAGCGCCAGGAGCAAGCTGGATCTTTGCTACTCCTAAGGAATTCACCCTAGAGCAATAAACCCATCCATTGGGAGGGTGGAGAGAGGTTATAATCTAAGTGTGAGTGTTACCTCACTAGGACGAGTTACTGACCCTTCTTCCGGATGTCTTCATCTTTATCCTTTAGGCACGAATTGTTCCAGAGGCCCCCAAATGTCCTCTGAACAGTAAAACGCTGGGTAGCCCGTTCTAAACACATTTCCGTAATTGAAGCATGCTTAATTAGCTACAGGAGAGGGAGAGAACAAAGATTTAGCAATAGTAACGACAAAAAGTGATGCTACCTATACTTTAAGAAAAGAAGAAAGGTTAGAAGAGCTTCAGTAGCCACAAGCATTGATACCTTGGTTTGTCTTTGATAACTTGTCATAATTTTCCGTAGCAGAAGTTGAGGGCGTAGCTCAGTGACAGAGAACTTGCCTACCAGAGACACCCTGGTTATTTCTCACACTGGACCAACAAAGGGTGGTCTGTGCCCTGATACTTGGCAACAATTTAACCGTCAAGCAGGGTGAGCTCAATCAAATGACATGCCAGTTAGAACAAAGATAATTCTAGAACTGTCACCAGTTCCAGAACAAATGCGGAAAAAGCAAAAATAAGTAAAAGGAATGTATAAAAATGTGGACAAAAGCAAAGGAAAGGTTTGAAAACAGTCCCAGTAATGAGCCAGACACCCTTACATCTGTGGAAAGAATTGTTGAAATAGTCCAGGAGACCGTTTCCTCCAAGGCAACACCCAAGGGATCCAGAGTGCCGTCAGGTCAAATCACCAGCAATGAAACAAGGACTTTTCACTGGGCAGAGTTCCCAGCTGCCATTGCCGTTTCGGAATGAGTATTTGCAGGGCGGGGTCACGAAGAGGCACATCTCAAATGTAGGTGTATACTAAGACCTGTGTTTATATTCTAGGACCTGTGTTACTTCAGCATGCATGTCGGTTTTGGAGGGGAAAGCTTCAGTTGCTAATTCTCTTATTGTGTTTTGTCCCACCATTCTCCAGCATCCTCCACTTGGCTTAGTCATGGCTTGTGACAAGCAAATCTCAAAATGGAGTCAGTGTTGTCAAAGTGCAGTCACAGTCATCCTAATTAAAATACCAGTCGGGCATGATGGTGCACATCTGTAATCCCAGCACTCAGGAGGATGAGACAGGAAGATCACCTCGAGTTCAAGGCCAACCTGAGCTGCATGGGCTAGCCTGGGCTACAAAGCAAGACCCTATCTCAAAAAATAGAAATAAAAATCAGTAACATAAAGTAAAATAAAATACCAGTTCATTTAGGCTCAGGAGAATCATAACACTGCAGAACATTCACCATATACCCAGTGTGGAGAGCAAATGTGAACAGAGAGATAGATGATCTAATCCCTAGTGTGAAAGATCATAGAGGGTAGAGTGCTTGGGGGACACTTAGCCTCCTGGATGCTGGGTGCTGGGCGCTGGGAAAGTGCTCCCTGCTGAAACAAGGCTCAGAGGGGTCTGGAAGGGAGTTAGGACAGTAGCCTGAACAAGGAGCCTGTCCCAGAGAAGCAGGGGAGCAAAGTTTCGGGTGATGACCACAGCAGGGAGAAAATCCAGGAGGAGGATGAATGTGAAAGAGGCATAACCAGGCAGGAGGTGTGGTTAGCTCTGGGGAGGGCTGAGGGGAGGGCGGGAGGTGACCATGATTCTGGCTTTGGAGAGATCAGCTGTGAAAATGTCTAATTGAGTCTGATTTGGGGCAGATATTCATATTTCCTTGTCACACAGTGCAAACACACACATACACACACACACACACACACCACACCCCCCTGAGAATTCAGGGTAACAGGCACACCATGCAACTTCTTTGGCAGAACTGTTAATGGGTAGAAACTTGCTGAAGAGTGACCTGACAAAAAACATCAAAACATCAAAAGGCAGGCACCTTTTGTTGTAAGCAATTTCACTTTGAGGAATTTACCCCATGGATAAAACATATATAAGTTGCTTGTAACAATGTGTAACATTGTTTATAGAGATTATATCCATGGTCTTGTACATACTAGGCAAGTGCTCAGCCACTGAGCTACATCCCCATCCTACCAATAAGTTTGCTTTAACAAGGTCTATCTCAACTAAAGAAACAAAGATCAACACTATGATTTTTTCATGTCCCTGGTACTAGGGATTGAACCTATGGCCGTTATACTGAGCTACATCCCTAGCCCTTTTTTTTCCCCACCCCCGCCCTTTTTATTGTTTGTTTGTTTGTGGACAAGATCTCACTAAGTAGCTAAATTGTCCAGGCTGAACTCCAAGTTGGATCCTCCTGCCTTAGCCTCGCAGAGTGGTAGGATCATAGGCCTATACTATTTCCTTTTTTCACTAATCAGATAGAGCTTTTTTAGTGGCTGGAGCCCAGAATGGGGGAGCATTAGAGAAACAAACACGCATGCAGTATAATAGTGTGTATAGGCCTTTATTCAATCTTTCTGGAAGCTGGTTTTCCTAGTCATGTTGTTGAAACACAAATTTCATTTTTAAAATTGATTTTTCATTTTGGTAATATATCCTAAAGAAATAATAATAGATGTAATCAAGTGGCAAATATTTAGCAGGACTATTCACCACAACATTCTTTGTGGTACTAAATACTTGGATACTGTTTGGAAGTCCAATAGGAGCTATTGGTTACATAAACTGTGCTTTCTGATAGATTACTGTGGGACAACTGAAAATGAGGTTGTAGCCAAGTATAGTGGTGCACATCTGTAATCCTAGCACTGGGAGGCTAAGGCAGGAGGATCACTGCAATTCTGAGGCCAGTCTGGTGCTACAAAGTGAGTTCAAGGCCAGTTTGAACCACATAGGGAGGCACTGTATCAGAAAGAAACTAAAAGAGAAAGAAAATGAAGTCGCAAAGTATACAAGGTGTGAGAGTAAAAGGTACAAGCACAAATAAGTAGACACATATTCTGTGCATATAGTACACATACACAGCACACATACTGGAAAATGTTACAGGAGATTGTCCTGGGAATTAAAACTATGTAAAGGACCAGATGTGGTGGTACACACTTATAGTCCTGTAGTTCTCAAGAGGCTGAGGCAGGAGGATCACTGCGAGTTCAAGGTCAACCTGAACTACATAGTGAGATCCTGTCTCAAAAAAAAAAGTAAAGACTGACAAGCAAATACACCTCTCCAGAAGCTGTATTCAAGATACTTGGGCAACAATTCAGTGAAGAAAAATAAAAAGCAATTCTCTCAGAAGTAGGAGAAACTGATAGGAAAATTGGAAATCATAGAGACACTGGGGAGACACAGTGAGAAGAGTATAACACAGAGAAAAGAAAAATGTAGTCTGGAGAGGTAACCCCAGATCCCAAGGAGGGGGACCTCTCTCGGCTAACACAGATCAGCAACCCAGGGAAGAAAGAGGGAACTAGGCCAGCAGCACCAGACCCAAGAAATGTTAATGGATACTGTTATAGTTTGTGTCTAGGGGCTGGGGATTTAGCTCAGCAGCATAAACGCCTGTCTTGCAAGCAGGCAGTCGTGAGTTCCATCCCCGGTACCGATAAAAAGGAAAAAGACCAAAAAAAAAAGTTATAGTTTGTGTCTAGATGTCCCCACAAAGCCTCATGCAGTCATGGGGGCAGGATTTTGTGCAGGTAGCTGAAGCTAGAGCTTGTGACTGATTTATAATGCAATGATGGGATTAAGGCTCGGTGATTGCTGTATCACTCCACTGATTGGATTGGTACCATGCTAATCCTTGCCATCTGGATAAGATAAAAGGAGCAGAAAGAGGTTTGTTTCCTGCTTTTGCTGTTCTCCACCACCATGAGCTTTTGCCCTCTTCCACAAGCCACCCTATGTTGGAGTTAGTCAATTATGGACTGAAATCTTCTGCAAACTGTAAGCTAAATAAACCTTTCCCTCTTTAACTTTGGGCATCAGGTATTTTGTCCCAGCAAAGAGAGAAAAATAACTAAGACAGATATTATAAACTGCAAAAACAGTGTTATGGATTAAGAACTGGTGGTCAACTTAATGCCAGCTGGATTACATCAGCATGGCATTGGGCGAAGATGCTCCACCTGAGGAAAGTTGCCCGGATAAATAGGTGGAGAAGAAGGGAGGTGTTCAGGGTTGAGGTGTTAAGGAGGCATTGTGGGTTCTCCTACGAGTTGCTGCCTGAGCTGTTGGTTCTCCTGGAGAGGCTTTGGTCCCCACATCTAGCATTACTTCCTGGCTCTGGAGGGGAAGACATGTGCTGCTTTGGTCTCCAGGATGAAATTGTCACGCTGCTTCCTGGCACGTTGGAGGAGGAGCTCGGGGGCCTCCTCTGTGTCGCTGAGGATGGCTGTGGTGCCTTTCAGGATAGCCTTGGTCTTTGTTGTGCGTGTGACTTCTTGGCTCCAGCGTAGAATTCTCATCCTACTAGCACAGCTCCTTCATCCTGATAGCATAGACTTTCTGGCTTCCATCAATGACCCTTGGGTCTTCCCGGCACGGATCCGTAAAAGAGATGGGCATGAGTCCTTCTTGTGGCTCTGGACCTCCAGTTGGACTCGTGGGAGGCACTGTCCTGAGCTCTGGTTTTTATCTGGACTCGTGGGACATTGCCGTGGGGTTTAGGCTCTTGACTAAATAATCTAAGTCTTTGGTGTTGTGGATAGATTTCCTGCATTTTCCTGTGTTAACTTCTGGTGACCATTATAAAAATATTATAAACTCCATGTCCTAATCCTAATTTTTCTGTGTATACAACCCCTGACTACAACAAACAGCATGAAGGTTCACTCTGCAAGTCACTCCTTCCACATAGCAGGCTGGAGTTGGAGGGTGCACACTCAGCCAAGAGCCACTTTGGGAAGAGATTCATTGTTTAAGACTCAGCTACTCGGGGCTAGGGATTTAGCTCAGTGGCATAAGTGCCTGCCTTGCAAGCAGGCAGTCGTGAGTTCGATCCCCGGTACTGATAAAAAGGAAAAAGACAAAAAAAAAAAAAAAAAAAAGACTCAGCTACTCCAGGAATCAGAGTGACAGAACAACTACACATGAGGGTTTTGGGGAGTTAACCTTACCACAGTGATTGGATGGGAGAGGGCCACAAATGACAGCCATGGAGACAACATAGACACCCTGAGAAGTTGAAGTTCAGGACAAGGGCTCCTGAACTGAGAAGCTAGGACAGGCATGTCTGATTTTTGGAGGGGGCTGGGTCTGGAAGAGCTGGCACTAAGTCCAATGAACTGCTTGACTCTCTGTCCTCCCACCCCACTGCCTACATCCGACATAGATAGAGCTCAGGGTCTGTTTGCTCCCCATCTGCCAATGTGGTCAAGGATGTGCCTTGGCTTGTATGGTTGCCACAGCCTGGGATGTATGGACAGAGGGGCTCTTGGAATAGGGTGGGGTGCATCTCATAAACCCACAGGCCGTAAATCTAGGTGGAGAAAGGTATGACTTGAAACACACAAAGTGTCTTACTTTTTACTCGTTGCTGAGACAAAATACCTGAAGCCCAAAGCTGGGAAAGGAAAGGTTTATTTCTTACAGTTTTTGGAGGTTTCAGTCCATACTGAGTTGGCTCCAAGGCAGGGTGGCATGGCTGGGCCACAGTTCATGGCAGCTGCAAACATCAAGGAGGAAACAGGCAAAAGATCGAGACACACCTTCTTCCTGCCATTACATTACATCCTGGCTCCACCCCTAGCCAGTGTAGCCTTCACACCCCCAGTCCAAGCACTAGACAATGAACCAGTCACAAATGCATAGTGCAAATGCATGAGGACTGGGGGCCACCAACACAAACCATGACACAAAGGGACACAGAAACTAAAAGTCACTGGAACAAAACCAGAAGAGACCCAGATTTTAAGTTATATTATAAAGCAACAGTGATAAAAACAGAATGGTATTGGTACAAAAACAGACATTTGGGTCAGTGAAACAGAACAAAGGGTACAGAAATAACTCCAGGTACATTCAGTCATCTGATCTCTGGCAAAGTGACCAAAAACATAAGCTGGAGGAAAAATAACCTATTTAACAAATCATGTTGGGTTCAGAAAGCACAGCTGCACAAGAAATGACATCAAGTCCGGGCATGGTGGCACACTCCTGTAATCTGAGCATTCAGGAGGTTGAGGCAGAAGGATCATTGCAAGTTCAAGATCAGCCTGAGCTATAAAGTGAATTTAAGTGCAGCTTGAAATGGATAATGAGAAGTTGTCTCAAAAAGGAAAAAAATCAGAATTTATAGAAAATTAATAACTTTGCACAGCAAAAGAAACAATAGCCAACAAAGTGGAGAGGCAATCTACAGAATGACAAAAAAAGCTGCTAGACAGAGAACTGACATCAAGACTATATAAAGAACTAAAAGTAAATAGCCCCCTAATAAAAGACCCATTAAAATGGGCAATTGAAATAAATAGATACATCCTAGAAGAAATATAAATGGTTAATAGATACATTAAAAATATTCCTCATCGCTGGCCATTAGTAAAATGCAAATTAAAACACTGAGATTCCTCCCTATTCCAGAAAGAAATCAAATAATAACAAATGCTGGTGAGGCTATGGGAAAGAGGAATCCTTCTACATTGTTGATGGGAATGTAAACTAGTACCACCACTACGGACATCAACATGGAGATGCCTCGAAAAGCTAAAAATAGAACTATTCAGCCCAGCTGTTCCCCTGCTAGGTGTCTTCCTGAAAAAGTTAGACATCATATTATAGCAATCCGTGCATACCCATGTTTATAGCAGCACAACCCATGTTACCTAAATCTTGGAAGCAGCTTATATGTCCCACCAACATATGAATGAATAAAGAAAATGTGATATTTATGTACAATGGAGGACTACTGCTCCATAAAGAAGGATTTATTTTGTTATTTGTCAGAAAATGGATGCACCTTGAGACCATAATGTTAAGAGAGTGTGTAATTTTCCTTATATAAGAAGCCCAAAGTATAAATAAAAAAAACTAAAAGACAGATAAGATGAAATAGGGAGATAACTCTTTTGCAGATGGGTCTAAGACATGGAGTTAGAGAGGTAGAGGGAAAGGAAGGGATGTAAGAATCATTAAGATGTGTTATATGCATGCATCAACTCCCTGAGATGAATATAATCATGATGCATTTGGAACATGTAGTAACAAAAAATAAATGCAGAGAGAGAGAGAGATTCTTCAAAATAAATCAGTAGCAATGAATTATGTGTAGATTATGTGTAGATTATTTCTGGAATTATAGAAGAGCTTTTCCTCTCAGCTTGTTCATGTCACTGAGTGAAACGGCAGCCAGATTTGGTACAAGATGCCTGTTTTCTAGCACAGTGAAAGTCAGAAGCAGAAGGATCAAAAATCCAAACCCACCCTGAGAATTTAGCAATTTTTAGTGAGACCCTTTCTTTTTTTATTTTTATTTTTTAGCGAGACTCTTCCTCTTTTTATTTTTATTTTTTAGCAAGACCCTTTCTAAAACAAAAACACAAATCAAACAAACGAACAAACAAACAAAAAAAAACCCCAAAACAAAAGCAGAACCCAACAACACTGGCACTCTAACTCAGCTCAGTTTCAGGCCCCAGAATCACAGACTGAAATGAAGCAAAATGAACAAAATAGCAGCTGGGGTCACACCTGTGCCCCAAGTGTAGTACTAGTCTCCAGAGCCCTTGTGGGGTGCGGTCTGGAGAAGGGGCTGCCCTCCCCATGGCTGGGTGCAGGGGAGATGAGACTCCAGCAGGTTGGGAACACAGTGCTGAGTCTGAACAAGACACAGAGCAGGGTGGGCTGCACCTCTTTCTTGTCCCAGTGATTGGGACCCTCAGGTGCAGGGGCAGAAATTGGGGCTGCGGCTCCTCCGGGGAGAGGGCAGCAGAGCAGAGTCCAAAGGTACTGGTTTATGGCAACTCATAAAAACTCCAGGAGGAGCTCGAGCCCCCAAAGTGGGGAGGATAGGAAGGGCATCAGTGCCTGTGAGCAGGAGGGGAGCACATGCTGAGTTGAAGGGGCCTCTGAGTGCCCTATGTGCCCTTGGGGGACCCTAACTGTGAATTTCTGGCCCTGGTCCCTGGTTCCAGGCTGGGTCTCCAGGAGTCCTCCCTGGCCCTCTACTGCTCAGGGCAGGAGGAGGAGAGCTGAGCTCTCCTCTGCAGGCAGGAGGGAGGGTCTGAAGCCTGTGCCCCTCCCTGGCAGGCACGGTCGGTCCACCTGCAGCCAGGGCCCAGGATCTGGGCGGAAATGAGCCGCATCCCTGGTGCTTCCTGAGCCAAGGGTGGGGCTCGTCGCTGCTGGCTGTCAGGCTGTCGCTGGGCTATTAGGTGCCCAGGGACCCAGCGGGCACCTGCCTCCCCACCCCCCTCGGCCATTCTCTCTCTCTCTGGGGCCATATCTTCCCTTATATGGTGAAGGCAGTTCCTAGAGGAGGGGGGTGAGGACAAAGGTCGCTCTCTTACAGCCAGCTTGCCACAACTCCCTGAGATCTCTCAGGTGGCCACAACCTCCTCTGACAGGTAAGGCCACACGGTGGGGACACACAGGGGCCATAGGTGGTGGAAAGGAACAGGGTCCTTGCTTATCAAGGACCTCAAGCTACCTTGGGGTAGGGTTGGGGGTGAGGGTGGGCGCTTGAGATTCTGGAAAGAGCAAGGAGCCCAACAGGTCTGTCCGGGCCTCCGAGGAGAAAAGTTTGCAGGCCTCTCCTCTGTGACCAGCTCCCCTCTGCCAATGCTGGGTGTCACCTGTCCTAGATTGCCTGAGGCTGAGGCAAGCCTTGGGGCTCCGAGCTTCTAGACTTAAAACTGAGACTGTCACACACCAGCCTTGGGTGCTTACCCTGACCTCACGGTTCTCTTTCCCTTTAGCCCATCTCTTTGCCTATTTCTGCCTCATTTGAAACGGCTTCTTTTTCTTTGTGTCACCCTTGGCTGGACACTTCTGAGCCCTCAGGGTCCTTTCACCTCCTGGATCCCAGGTGTGAACCACAGTATTAGAAGCTGAATGGGCAAAGTCAGAGACAGATTCTGCTTCACATGGGGACATCACCCCTCCATGAGGTCTCCCTCTCTGTCTGGTCCCCTGGGGCTCCTGCCAAACCCAGGCCTGGAACTTTCAGGGCTGCCCGCTCAGAAATCTTCCTGTGACAGCCCTGGGGCTGACAGGGCTGGGAGCTCTCCAGGTCTGTGCTTTACTGGGCTGGGGAAGTGGGACAGTGTTCTTTGACTGAGGGAAGGGTCCTGCCCATTCAGAGATGAATGACAGAACTGAATGCTTGGGCCCCCTAAAGCTGCACCCCAAGAATCACAGGCAGTGTATAGGGAAGATGCCTGTAAACAGCAGGACCCTAATTCCTTCTAAGGTCCCAGAAATGCTCCTCATTCCACAGTTCTGTCTCTCAGCTTCAGGGTTGTTTGCTAAGTGTCTTCTATCAACTGGGATTGGGGGCCACAGAGACAAGGCTGTCCAGATTGGGGACTTCGTGGAACTCAGATCTATAAACAGATCTTTTCATCGTGATGTGGTAGAGGGCAAAGAGAGACACTGATCTGAGGCTGTGGGCTGGTGGGGAGGCCTGGGGTTTTGGAAAGACCTGGAAGAACTGAAACCCAAATCAAGTCTGGAAAAGCACTTGTGGTGGGCAAGCAGGACAGGTGGGGAGAGGGTTTGCAGAGGGCACGGCAGGTGCAGGCAGGGGTGAGAGGCAGCTTGGGCCCAGGGCCGGCCAGCAGGCTGGCTTTTCAGGAAGGTATCAGAGGGATGGGGTGTGTGGTGTGGGTCAGAGAGCTTAGGTAGATAGGAAGGCAAGAGAGAAGAGTTCAGGATGCTGCACCGATGCCTGAGGGGGGGTCTCAGGGACAAAAGTGTCCTTTGCCCAGGCTTGGGACATAGAAGAGAGGGGCCCAAGGGTGAGCACAGTCATCAAATGAGTTCAACTCGTTCAGTTCATTCAACCTGAGAGAAAAATGAGCCCAGATCCGGCCGGGGGCCTTGTTGCCCTGTGTTCAGGTGTGGCACACCCAAGCGGAGAGGCATCTGTGCTGACCAACAGGCACAGGGGGCAGGAGCAGCTGGGGCTGGCCATGGGGTGGCCCAGGCCACCTTGCTCATCCTTGTCCATAGTGAGGCTGCCTCCCTCTCTGTTCAGGCTTCTGCAGCCCCAGGTCTGATTTCTCTCCAGGGAGGGCAAGTGAACCCTGACTGTCTTCTTGGCTGGACCGAACCTGCCTCTAGTGTCCACCATTAATTCCTCCAGCTCCTGGAGTCAAGGCAGGCCCCTAGGGGGATGTCAGAGGTCATGTAATATAGCTGTCCACTCTCCTAGCTCCTGGGCAAGGAGTGAGGGCTGTGGGCTACAGCTACCAGAGTGTATCTCAGAGAAAGAGGTGAGTGGAGCACTCAGATTTGTTCTGCTGAACAGGGGTCCCCTGGGACTCTCAGCACTGAGGAACACCTGAAGAAGTGGCTGGTGGCCTACAGAGACACTAGGAGGGGCCTGGTCCAAGGGATTCCTACAAGCACACAGTAAGCTGCCCGTGGCAGACAAGTGGTCCGGATCAGCAAGGGGCACTGATTGGACTGGGCTGGAGGTTTGACCCCAGAACTACAGAGCACGAGAGAGAAGCCTCCCTTTGGGGCTCAGAACATCAAGCCTCCAAGTGGCCACTGATTCCAAGATGTGACTCAGAGTCAAAGTGCAAGGAAAGATTAGCTGCAGAGATCCGAGGCTGTCAGTGTGCAGGACCTAAGCCCCAGAGGCCACATGACCTTTCATTCATTAGTCACCTGTCCAAGGAGCAGTCCAGGGGCCAACTCCCTGCCAGGCTGGGAGCAGGGCCCTGGAGAGTGGAGTGGGGGAACCTGGGGATGAGGTTAGCCAGGTTCTCCCCCACCCCTGGCTCGCAGCAGGATCCCTGGGGAGCTTTCAGAGCACTGTACCCCACCTCCCAGCAGCAGAACATAAAGCAGCCAGGCCCAGAATTCACCCCTGGTAATTAAATCTGAACCTCTGGGGCCTGAGCTCCACAGCATTCGTATTTTTAAAAAGCTCCCCAGGTGATTCTGATCGGCAACTGGAACAAACATGGTACAGCACAGAACAAATCACGGAGCAGCCAGGGGGAGATAGAGAGGGTGCCTCTTAGCTCAGTGTGTGGTTTCCTCTGCTACTCATCCATCAGTCCATCCATCCATCCATCCATCCATCCATCCATCCATCCATCTATCCATCCATCCATCCATCCATCCATCCATCCATCCATCCATCTATCCATCCATCCATTCATCTATCCATCTATCCATCCATCCATTCATCTATCCATCTATTCATCCATCTATCCATCCATCCATCCATCCATCCATCTAACCATCCATCCATCCATCTATCCATCCATCCATCCATCCATCCATCCATCCATCTATCCATCCATCCATTCATCTATCCATCTATCCATCCATCCATTCATCTATCCATCTATTCATCCATCTATCCATCCATCCATCCATCCATCCATCCATCTAACCATCCATCCATCCATCTATCCATCCATCCATCCATCAGTCCATCCATCCATCCATCCATCCATCAGTCTATCTATCCATCCATCCATCCATCCATCTATCCTTTTCTTCTCCACTGTCTCCTTTTATCCATTCATTCATCCATCAAATTACTCGTAATTCACTAGAAACTAGAGTTAGTACTGAGCGAGAAAGATGGTCCTGGCCCTCGTGGAGTCTAGGTCTTGTGGGCCACTTCAGCACTGACAGTGACAGGAGGGTTGATAGGATAGGATGGGTTATGGGTGGGGAGGGACAGGAAATTACTACATATACCTTTCTTTTTTCTTCTCTTCTTTTTTTTTCTTTCAGTACTAGAGATTAAACCAAGTGCTCTCTCTCTCTCTCTCTCTCTCTGACTCTTTCTCTCTGACTCTCTGACTCTCTCTCTCTCTCTCTCTCTCTCTGTCTCTCTCTCTCTCTCTCTCTCTCTCTCTGTCTTTCTGGAGACAAGGTCTCACTACATAGCCCAGGCTGGCCTCATACTCATGGCAATCCTCCTGCCTCAGTCTTTCAAGTGCTAGGATTATAGGTGTGTACCACCACTCCGGGCCACAGTCTCTCTTTAAAATTTTTCTTTTTTCTTTTCTGTTTTTTAAAAATTTTTGATACAGGGTCTTGGGCTGGACTTGAACTTTCAAACTTCTTGTCTCAGCCTCCCAGAGTGGTGAGAATCCAAGGAGGTTCCCACATGCTGTGACATGCATGCTTTTTTAACTGTGGTAAACTACTCCTGCAATTTTACATTTTACCTAAAGTGCACAGTTCAGTGGCATTTAGTATATTCACAATCATGCAACCATCACTAGTTCTAGACTTTTCCACCATCCCACATGGAAACTCTGCCCCCATTAGCGATTGCTTCCCATGTCCTCTATTCCATCCCTTTGCCAGCCTGCCTCTGTGTCTACAGATTTACCTGTCCTGGACATTACACGTAGATGGAATTACACAATACGTGGGCTTTTGTGTCTAGCTGCTTTCACTTAGCAGAAGTTTTACCCGTGTGTCAGTACTTCATTCCTTTTCAAGGCTGAGTCTGCTCCATGGTATAGATACACCCCTTTTTGTTCACCCAGTCATCTGCTGATGGACATCTGGGCTGTTTCCGCCTTTTGGTTATTGTAAATAGACCTACTGTGAACTTCAAGTGCAAGTTTCCATTGATATTGGTTTTCAATCCTATTGGGTACATACACTTTTAAGTTCTTTATTCTCTTAGGAACTCTATTTAGGCTTTTTGGGACAAAGTCTTGCTGTGTGATTCACACTGACCTTGAATTCAGGCAATCTTTCTGCCTCAGCCTCCTGAATGTTGGGATTATAAGTGTGCACCACCACACTCAGCTCTGTATGATTTTCTTTGAACTGGCCAAGGCTTTGATAAAGAAATTTTAAAACACAGAAAGTGTAGCAGGCTAAGACAAAGAAGGGCCTCCAGGGCCAGGCTGGGCACTGGCTGTGCAGCAGGTAAAGGGGTCAGGGAGGAATCTGAGGGAGGCAGGGTCATGGTCAGACCTGGGTCAATGGGCTGGAAACTAGGCCCTTAGTGATCAGGGTCCAGAATGGGGAGTCAGCTCCCCTCCTGTCCCAGGCCTGGGCCTGCACTCTCCAGGCACATTGCCTCCTAGGGCTGGGCCGGACAGGCAGAATCAATCGGAAGTCCAGGACGCCCCTAGCCTTGCAGCCTGGCTTTCACCTGTCTTCTTCCCCAGGCTCCTCCACCATGACCAACCTGAGCTCCCAAGTCAAAAACTCCCTCAACATCACCACCCCGGGGGTACAGATATGGAGGATCGAGGTGAGCCCTCTATGCAGCGGGGAGCAGAGAAGGGGAACCTGGGCTGCTCTGTGGGCTGTCCTGCCCTGTGACTGGCCCCTCCCCTCCCTTCCAGCGTATCCACACCCTCGCTCTGCTCCTCCTCATCTCCCACCTCTCTTCTTCCTCACACCCCTTCTGTTTTTTCCCCATCTGTCTCTCAACTTCCTCTCCACTTCCCAAAGTCACTCGTCTCTTTCTGGCCCTGTTTCTGTTCCTTCCTCCTTTCTCATGTGTGTGGGTTTTCTTTCTCTCATCTCCCTTTCCTCTGCTCTTTCTCCGTCCCTCCCTGGCAGGCATCCCCCTGGTCACTTCCTCATGCATCCTCTCCCTACCTCATTCTCTCCTCAGGCCATGCAGATGGTGCCCGTTCCCTCCCACACTGTTGGGACCTTCTATGACGGTGACTGCTACGTGGTCCTGGCTGTGAGTGGTCGGGCAGGGCTTGGGGCTCAGCAGACAGCAAAGCCCATGATGGCAATGGGGCGGGAACACAAGGCTGGGGCAGTGGGAGAGAGCATTTCCCGAGTGTCAGGTGCCAGCCTGGGTACCTTACAGCAGTCAGAGGCCTATGTGGGTCAAGCCACTGAGCTTATGGCCCAGGCAACTTTGGTGGATTCACAGCCTTGGGGGACCATATGAGTCTGTGCAATGCCACCTCCCATTTCTTTTTTTCTTTTTCTTCCACTTCCCATTTCTAACACCCGTAGTCATCTTCATATCACCTTCTTGATTTTGCCACACAGTGGCACCCCTTCGTAAGAATGCATCTATATTTTTCTTTATATTGACCCATTTTAGAGAGAAATACACATCATTAAGTGAAAGGTAGTATCCACGTCATAAATACAATATCTCCAGAAAGTATTAAAGCATTTGCATAATTTCGCATGCGGTCACCCTCCATATCTAGAAGGTATCAGTGGATTCCTCCAATAACAGATTGAAAATATCCAGAAAACAAAACCCTGTGTCGCCAGATGTGGTGATTCATGCCTGTAATCCCAGCACTCCAAAGGCTGAGGCAGGAGGATCGTTGCAAGTTCGAGACGAGCGTAGGCTACAAAGTGAGCTCAAGGCCAGTCTAAGTTGCATAGAGAGACCTTGTCTCAAAAAGTCAAAAAACAAAACAAAACGAAAACCCTGTGTCTGTATTTAGCATTTACTTGTCATTATTCCCTAATCAATATAACATAATAACTTTTTCCTGAGCACTTACATTGCATTACATGGTATGAGTAATATAGAGATTTTTTTTTTTTGTCTTTTTTTCATTTTTATCAGTACCAGGGATCGAACTCACGACCACCTGCTTGCAAGGCAGGTGCTTACGCCGCTGAGCTAAATCCCCAGCCCCCATAGAGATGGTTTTAAGTATAAAAGAGGGGCTGGGCATGGTGGTGCATGCCTGTAATTCCAACACTCAGGAGGCTGAGGCAGGAAGATGAAGAGTTTAAGGCCAACCTGGATTACATAGTAAAACCTCATTGCAAAAAAAAATGTATATATATGTATATATGGGAGAATGTGTGTAGATTACATGCAAATATGGTGCTTCTGGAAAGTTCTGCTGTGGTATAAGCAAGTTATTTCCAAGATGAGGGGAGGGAGGCCTAGAGAGAGGAAGCCACCTGCCTCCTGTCTGAGTCAGGAACAGAGCTGGGTGATGACTTGGGCCCTGCCCGCCAGCCCAGTGGCTCCTCTGTGCCAAGCTCCACTGGTCCAGCCCCAGTGTGTGGAAGCCCGTGACCTCAGGCACCCCTTCTCTCCAGATCCACAAGACTGCCAACAACCTGACCTATGACATCCACTACTGGATCGGCCAGGACTCATCCCAGGATGAGCAGGGAGCAGCTGCCATCTACACCACCCAGATTGACGACTTCCTGCAGGGCCGGGCTGTCCAGCACCGAGAGGTCCAGGGCAATGAGAGCGAGACCTTCCGTGGCTACTTCAAGAAGGGCCTTGTGTAGGGAGTGGCGCATTGTACTGGGTGGAGACAGAGTGCAGGGGGGGGGTGGGGGAGCCTGGGCTAAAGAAGCAGAGACGCTTGGGACCCAGGGATTGGCTGAGGGAGGTGACCTGGGGCTGGGAAGGGAGCCTGAGGTTGTGAGGAGAGGTCAGGGGCACCCAAAGCAGGAAACAGGGTGCATTTGCTGATTTTCTGCACCTCCCTCTCCCTTCCTCATTCTCACTGCTGACCTGTCCTGTCCTTGGCCCTGTCCCTCCACGCGTGCTGAGAGCCATCTCTGGAGGTCATTCTGAATCCTGTGGTTCCAAGCTCTGTGGATTTCTGTAACTCAGTGTCTGTCTGAGTGTCCTGGAGAGCCCTGCACCTAAGGAGGCCTGCAGGGTGTCACGCCAAGCTCCTCCCCGCTCTGGCTAGTGAGCAGATGCCTGTGGCTCTTCTCTAAGCAGGACTCACCCTAAACTCCGAAGGTCTTCTGGAAAAGTCTGAGATCCTGGGAAACATGCGTTCTTGAGCCAGTTGCTGCTGGCCTGTAGGACAGGCTGGACCTCTCCCACCCTCCCTTTCATCTTGCTCTCCTCTTCCCACACCACTGCCCACTCTCTTGGGCACCCAGGTGGAACCTCGCCCTTCTTTTCTTCCACTTCAGTCCCCTGCTCTCTGGGCCCTGGTTTTACCGACTCCATCTTTGCAGGCTCTGGTGCTGAGGTGGGGCTAGGGTGAGGGATCTGGGGTGCAGATCTAGGAGTCACTCACCACTGGGGTTATATGCAAGGGCAGGCCACAGGCTGGCCTCATGCCTGCAGGACCCCAGCAGTGACTTCCTTACAGTTTGCAGCCTAAGCATCTCGCTCAACCCATGTCCTCACTGGGCTCTGAGATGTCCCCAAGGGCAACCAGGCAGCTGAGGACTTGGGGCACAGGACCCTGGCACCCCCTCAGCCCTCCTCTCCTGGGTGGACTCTCTTCCCCTCTCAGGATCCAGAAGGGGGGTGTGGCTTCCGGCCTGAAGCAAGTGGAGACCAACTCCAGCAATGTCCAGCGGCTGCTGCACATCAAGGGCAAGAGGAATGTGGTGGCTGGAGAGGTGTGCAGCCCCCTGGGGTGTCAGTGGGGGGCGCTGAGCAGGGCTGACATGCAGGGAGGGGTGCCCCGGAACTGATGTTGATGGATGGGCCCTGTGTGCGATCCAGGCTGTCCTGTGCTCCCTAGGTGGATATGTCCTGGAAGAGCTTCAACAGAGGGGACGTTTTCCTCCTGGATCTTGGCAAGCTCATCATCCAGTGGAACGGGCCAGAGAGTAGCCACATGGAGAGACTCAGGGTAACCCTGCCTGGGCATCACCCTCCTGCAGTTCCAGTACCTGCCCTGCCCCAGGCAAACTTGCCAAATCTCTGCCATAGCCAGACCAGCCCTCTGCCCCTAGCCCTGCAGTTGTCTGAGTGCTGGGGACAGGACCTGAGACCCCACATGCATAGGAGAAGTGTGAGGCATTGATATGTGTGTACTTGTAGTTTGTCCCTCGGGTGGAAAGAGTCCCCACATGGTGGCAGACCCCGGGCCCAGCCTTGGGATCCAGGGGTGAGTGACAATGGCAGAGACTCACTGTCCATTGGGGGAGTCAGACAGGAAGGAAGACGTGGGGGTGCAGAGCAGCTTCTAGAAGGCAGTGAGGAGGGGAGTCCTAGGGCAGGAAGGGGGTGCTGGCAGAGTCCACCAGTGCCACAGGAGCCTGGAGAGCAGGTGCAGGTCTCGCAGGGCAGTTTATATGGCCAGGTGTCTGTGGACAATTCTGTCCCATACCCTGAACCACTGAAGATCACCTGACCACGGAGCCTGCAGCAGGGAGCAGGGAGCCTGTGTCATGCAGGTGCAGCAGAGGCCAAGGATGCCCAGGCCTGGCTTGGCAGGGGAAATCTGGGTGCTGAATGAGGAGCGAAGGCAGGGGAGGAGTGAGGCTGTGAGCTGAAGAACCGTGACATCAGGCAGCATCCTGCATCCTGAGGTGGGGAAGATCTGAATTTTGGATCTCTGTTTTCTGGGAAGTCGGATAAATAAGATGAACCCAGAATGCTGGGCTGGAGATGGAAGGCATCAGCTGCCCACGAAGCTTGGGACCTGAGAGACAGCCCAGGAAGGGTCTTTTACCCCAGAGTGGGGGCTGGGGCTAAAGGGAGGGTGAGCCACAGTGTGTGTGTGTGTGTGTGTGTGTGTGTGTGTGTGTGTGTGTGTATGTGTGTGTGTGTGTGTGTGTGTGTGTGTGTGTGTGTAAGTGTAGGTGTGACCATGCCATGGGAGGCTGTGTGTGTGACTATGCACATGTTTGTGCTTGTGCATGTATGTGAGCATTTGTGAGGCTGTGCGTGCACTGTAAGTGTGCCACATATACTTTGGGACAAAAAAACTGGGTACACTACCATGATCCTCAAGGCTTAGCTCTTGTGGAAAGCAATGTCAAAATCAAAGGCCTAGAGAGTCCCCCCAGACACCTTCCTGCTGGACGAGGAAGTTCCATTCTCTCTTCCCTCCTCCGCCTTCCTCGTGCACCTTAAAAACCTGCCCCCAGATCCTATGGCTGCCGTGGGGCGACCAGGGGCTTGCCTGGTAGGGTTTGGGGCTGCTGGACACTGCTGTGTGCCCTACCAGCTTCCGGGGTCACCTGCGGCCTTTCTGCAGGGCATGACCCTGGCCAAGGAGATCCGAGACCAGGAGCGGGGCGGGCGCACCTATGTGGGTGTGGTGGACGGGGAGAATGAGGCGGCCAGCCCGAAGCTGATGGAGGTGATGAACTATGTGCTCGGCCAGCGCAAGGAGCTGAGGCCAGCCATCCCCGACTCAGTGGTGGAGCCAACACTCAAGGCCTCCCTCAAGTTGTACCAGTGAGCACCAGCTGGGTTCTTCCTGGATGCTGGGGACTTCCAGGGTGGGCAAGGTGCCCGGGCTGAGGGGCATGGGCCCTCCCAGCTATGCCTCGCCTTGTCCTGCAGTGTGTCTGACTCAGAGGGAAAGATGGTGGTGAGGGAAGTTGCCACGCAGCCACTCACGCAGGACCTGCTCAGCCATGAGGTGAGAGGGCTGGAGGACACTTGGCTCAGACCGCCTGGCCTGCCTGGCCCTGTGCAGGTTGTCCTTACTTCAGGGTGCTGAGACAAGCGTGCAAGGGAAGGCTGGCCCAGCCCAGTGTCCCCCGCACGGAGGCTCTCAGCTGCATTTTCTCTCCTCACTCTAGGACTGTTACATCCTGGACCAGGGGGGCCAGAAGATCTTTGTGTGGAAGGGGAAGAATGCCAATGCCCAGGAGAGGAAGGAAGCCATGAACCAGGCCTTGGTAGGCACATGGATTGGGGAGGAGGCTCAGGGCCATGAGGGAAGTAGACAGCAGCCAATGGTCTCTGATCAGGAAAGCTGGAAGGTCAGGGCTGGGGCCTGCCCCACCCCCACCAGAGCTACCAGAGCTGGAGCTGAGAGGCCTTGTGTAGCCATCTTGAGGAGTTCTTTTGCATACCAGAGAGCCAGCCACTAGGCAACCTGGGGCCTTCCCAGGATCTGACCTGTCACCTCCCCACGCTCAAGGTTGATTTAGAGAAGCAACAGGGGAGGCTGAGTGAGGCAGGATTGCGAGTTCAAGCCCAGGCTGGGCAAGTCAGTAATTTGAGACCATGTTTCAAGATAAAAAAACAAAAATGAAAAAGGGCTGGGGATGTAGCTCAGTGTGAAGGTGCAATTTCTGGTACTACAAAAAGGGAATTGGGTCAGCTCAGGCCAGGGCCAAGTCAGAGTTCGGGTGACTGTTAGAGCTGGATAACCCAAATGGGCTTGGGGATGGTGTTGGATTGGGCCATGGGATCAGGGCAGGGTTGTAGTAAGGGACTGAGCGTAAGGGTTAGAGGGGAGGTGGGGGTCACACTAGGGGTCAGATTTGGCCTTGAGGCTGGGGTCACTTAGATTTAGGGTGCCTTGTTTCACAAACTTGATTCTTCCCATGATTCTGGTCAGAAACTGAATCGGGCAAGAACTGAATCAAATTTCCCAAGATCAATATGGAACCGTCCAATTCAGTTTACAACTAGAATCATGGGAAGAATCGAGTTCACAGACCAAGGCCCCACTGTATTAGGTTCAGGGTTGAGGTCAGTGTGAGGCTTGAGGGGGTTTCAGGTTTGACCTTGAAGTCGGGTTGCTGTAAGTTTAGGTTTGGGGTTGCTGTAAGGTTAGATTGGAGTCATGGTGATGGATCTGGCTGGAGTTAGACCTGGGCTTTGGCTTGCACTGGGATTGGGGGTGTTGGGGGGACTTATCTGCCCGACACCCTTTTGTTCTCAGAATTTCATCAAAGCCAAGCAGTACCCCAAGAACACACAGGTGGAGGTGCAGAATGATGGGGCCGAGTCACCTGTCTTCCAGCAGCTCTTCCAGAAGTGGACGGTGCCCAACCGGACCTCAGGCCTGGGCAAAACCCACACTGTGGGCTCCGTGGGTGAGGGCAAGATTGTCGCAGGACCAGAAGCTGGGCCAGTAGAGGAACTGCCTGTCTTCCACCCACCTTTCCTGATGGGTGCTTTACCTGGGCTTGGGACTCTTCCCAAGGGGCAAACCCCAGGGGACATGGATAAACTCAAGAGTATCACAGAGGGAGCTAAGAATGACCTGCCTTTCATCTGCAATAGTGTTGGGCCTCCCCAGGAAGCCAACAACTTCTGTACATATTTGCCGAGGCCAAGCTCAGAGCTGGGCCCTAGAGAGAGGATGATGGGAAAGCACAGCCACCATCCCAGCAGAGTGGTCCATGCTTGATACCTGAATGTGGCAGGGGTCAGGCTGCATAGATCAAAGCTAAAGCCTTGCTCTTGTCCCTTTTGCACTCCCCTCCCCCGTGGCTTCTCTGGGAGGCCTTGATGAAGCAGATATGTTAGAGTCATGGAGATGTGATTCTGTGCTATAGCTCTACTGTTTTCTATCTTTGCAACCTTGGGTGAGCTGCTCAATCTCTTCTAGCCTCAGTTTCCTCATCTATAAAGTGGGTCTAACAATTGTAGCCACTGTTCAGGGCTGTTGTGAGGGCCTGGGAGACCTCGGTTGGTGACAATTGGTGTCATGGATTCCCCTCACTCCAGCCAAGGTGGAGCAGGTGAAATTTGATGCCACATCCATGCATGTGCAGCCCCAGGTGGCCGCCCAGCAGAAGATGGTGGACGACGGGAGCGGGGAGGTGCAGGTGTGTGTGTGCTGGAGCTCATGCTGGGTGGAGAAGGGGTGGTGGAGGCCAGCCTGGCCCCTGCACTAACCTGATATTGGCCCCAGGTGTGGCGCATTGAGAACCTGGATCTGGTGCCTGTAGAGTCCAAGTGGGTAGGCCACTTCTATGGAGGTGACTGCTACCTTCTGCTCTACACCTACCTCATCAATGAGAAGCCACACTACCTGCTGTACATCTGGCAGGTCAGGCTCGCTCTCATCCCGCACAAGCCCAGTCAGCTTGGCTGCTCTCTACCATGCACCTGCCATCATACTCGGGTTAAATGGCACTGGTGATGGGGAGCTCACCCCCTCCAGAAGGGAGCCCATTCCATGCAGGTGACCTTGGCTACAAGATCTCACCGAGTACCCCCATTCGCCACCTGCATCTCCCCTCCAACCCCCCCCCCCCATCACCGTGCACCCTGCCTTCCCCTGCTCTGTCTGTGGGTTCTGTGGCAGGTGGGAAGGAGCAGGGAGATGCTTGGGCATGGTGGAGTGAGTGGTGGAAGGGGCGGTAAGGAGAAGAGCAGGCTAGGGGCTCAGGGCTGGGCCAAGGCTGGAGTCAGAACTGAAGTCAAAGTCAGGTTGGGTTGGGGGCAGGCAAGGAGGCCTGCTGGTCTGGGACCAGGTGAGAACCAGGGGCAGAGTTACCGATGACACAGGCTCCACCCTATGCCTTTCTTCCTGCTCATCCCCAGGGCAGCCAGGCCAGCCAGGATGAGATCGCTGCCTCCGCCTATCAGGCTGTCATCCTGGACCGAAAGTACAACGATGAACCGGTCCAAGTCCGCGTCACCATGGGCAAGGAGCCACCTCACCTCATGTCCATCTTCAAGGGATGCATGGTGGTTTACCAGGTGTGACTGCGAGGCCGAGGCATCCAAGAGATGGGCAAGGGGACGTGGGGACGGGTTTGGGGCAAAGCCCATTCCTCATAGGAGAGGGCTCTTCAAGGCTCCATCACTTGTATGGAACTAGTAACAAAAACAACTACTTAGTCTAGAAATATACATAATGGGCTGGCTGCAGTGGTACATGACTGTACTCCCAGTTCTCTGGGAGGCTGAGGCAGGAGGTTGGCAGGTTTGAGCCTAGCCTGAGCAATTTAGCAACTTAGTGAAACTCTGTATCAAATGTTAAAAAAAAAATTTTTTTTTTTGGTTAACATTTGAGACAGTCTTGCTATATAGTTCAAGGTGGCCTTGAACTTGCTGCCACCCTCCTGCCTCAGTGTCCTGAGTGCTGGGATTATAGGCATGTGCCCCCATGCCGAGAGAGAGAGAAAGAGAGAGAGCCAGAGAGAGAGAGAGAGAGAGAGAGAGAGAGAGAGAGAGAATCCAAAATGAGCCCTCATCATGGGCAAGTACTGTGTCTGCCCTCCCTGCTCCAAAGCCTTGAATCTCTGCATGCAAAGGGAGGTCTTATATGAGGTTTATCAAAATGCCACAGTGCCACACCTGTGCAAACCATGCTAGTGCCTTCTCGAAGAATGAAATAGGCACGTCCTGCAGCTGTTTAAGCAATCATCTGTTTATTGAGCACCTTCTAAGTACACAGTGCTTTGTAAAGCACCGAGCCAGGATGGGGTGGCAGGCTCCTCCCACTGTCTCTAGCAGCGGATGGTTATGAGGCTGTGTTCCAAGGTACATTCCTGCAAGACTGGGCCTAGAGTTCTAGATGGGAAGGGGGTTTGCAGGAGGTCTGAGTACCCAGGGCAGAGCTGAAAGACTTAGCAGGGATCAAATGAGGGCTTGCATTGTCGGGGACCCAGCAAGGCCTGAGGCAGAGGCAGGGGAGAGACCCGGTAGCCCAGGTCAGGTACAGAGTGAGTGGGGGAGACAGCTAGCATCCTCATCATGTGGGGGCTTCCCAGGCCCTGCTGAGGACTGGATTTTATTCTCAAAGCAGTGGGGCACCACCAAATGTTTCTGAGCAGAGGGGTGTGAGGAGGAAGGAGCAAAGCCAGGCTTGGAAAGCTTAGCCTGGCTGTGGTGAATGAGAGGGGCTGGAGGCATGGGGCGATCCTGCACACCTTTCTTTCTCTGCTTTCTCTGTGCCCCTCCACTCTCTCCTGGCCATCTCCCCCTGCCCTGTCACCCCCACACCTGCAGGGAGGCACCTCTCGTGCCAACAACTCGGAGCCCATGCCGTCCACGAGGCTGTTCCAAGTCCAAGGAACCAGCGCCAACAACACCAAGGCCTTTGAGGTCACAGCCCGGGCCGCCTCCCTCAACTCCAATGATGTCTTCGTCCTCAAGACCCCATCCTGCTGCTACCTGTGGTGTGGGAAGGTGGGTGCGGGATCCAGCAGGCTCCTGTTGTCACGTCAACATGGGGAGTCCGCAGAGTCTCAGAGCAGACAGGGTTGGGCAGGAGTCCTGGCCCACTGCTCCCACTTGCTGGGTCCCCAACTGCCTCCTAGCTGTCTCCCTCCCTGTCCCCCATGACCGTCCCCAGATCCTCTATGTCAGAAGCGCTCTCTGGCTCTATATATCGTGGGTCCCCAGAGGTCTGTGTCTTGGGCTGTCTCAGCTCCTGAGCCTGTCGTCTGCTGTCTCCCCTACCATTCCTGTACGGGACCCACAGCCTCTTACAGCCCTCCTCTAAGCCTCTGTGGACTCCCTGTCTCCTCTGCTGTTTCCTGAAGAATCATAGACAGAAGACAGGATGGATAGCTGTCCTGCGGGCTGTGTATGCACAGGCCCTGGTCCAGAGAGCCCTCAGAGCCCAAGGGTCTGGGTAGGGGTCATGTGGGAGGGTGGGAATGAGGGACTCTTCCCCAGCTCAGCTGACCCCCTCTCTGCCCAGGGCTGTAGCGGGGATGAGCGGGAGATGGCCAAGATGGTTGCTGACACTATCTCCCGGACGGAGAAGCAAGTGGTGATAGAGGGGCAGGAGCCAGCCAATTTCTGGATGGCGCTGGGCGGGAAGGCCCCTTACGCCGACAGCAAGAGGTAACTGCAGCTGCAGCCTCCAGCTCACGCCTGACACTGTAGGGCCAGAGCCTGCAGCAGGTGTGGATGGAAGACCTTGTGTGCCAGGTCTCCAGGGCGATGAGAAGACCAGGGAACAGCGAAAGGCCCACACTGCTCACCAAGGGATCCAGGGTTAGGGGGGTGCTTCCCTGGCAAACGGGGTTCCTAGCATAGGACTTGGCTCAAGGAGAGGGGCAGGGATGACTATTTTCCCTCCAGGGAGAAAGAAAGAAAGAAAGAAAGAAAGAAAGAAAGAAAGAAAGAAAGAAAGAAAGAGAAAGAGAGAGAGAGAGAGAGAGAGAGAGAGACACAGAGAGAGAGAGAGAGAGAGAGAGAGAGAGAGAGAGACACAGAGAGAGAGAGAGAGAGAGAGAGAGAGAGAGAGAGAGAGAGAGAGAGAGAGAGAGAGAAAACAGTTCCAGAGCCCAGCCCTGCCCTTTGGTACTGGGCATAGGCCTGGGGTGTTGAGGAGAACCCACCACAAACCTCTTTCAAATGGGTTTTGGGGCTGGACTGTAGCTTAGTGGTAGAGCACTTGCTCAGCCTGTGTGAGACCCTGAGTTCATCCCCAGAACCAAAAAGCAAGTGTTTTGTCTAGAGAATGGCTGCAACTCACAGCAGGAGGATACAGGTAAGACAGCAGAGAACTTCCCACCAGGACCAGGAAATGCAAGTTCAGAAAAGCAGTACTCTCAGGACAGGAGGGGAGCCTTCCATCCATCATAAGCTGGGGCATCTGGCAAGGAGATGCCTTTCCATGCCCAAGTTCCTCAGAGTTCTTGTCCTTGAGTCTCTGTCCCCAACCTCCTCCAACCAACCTGTTCTTCCCTCCACCCCGCAGGCTGCAGGAGGAAAATATGGTCATCTCCCCACGGCTCTTCGAATGCTCCAACAAGACGGGACGCTTCATGGCCACAGAGATCCCTGACTTCAATCAGGATGACTTGGAAGAGGATGATGTGTTCCTGCTGGATGTGTGGGACCAGGTAGGCTCAAGGGCCTGGGGACTGCCCTCTTCCAATCTCAATCCTCAGGGCCAAAAAGCTTGGGAGGCTGGAGGGCTCAGTGAGCATCCATGTTTTCCTGGAACAGAGCTATGAGCCACAGAGACCGAAGCAGAAGTGGCACTGGAACAGGGCATTGTGCCCATAGGGCTGCACAGTGGATGGAGCCATTTAGCTGGGGAGCAGCAGGGTCAGGGCTGTACTAGTGGACATCTGGGGTAAACAGGCACCGTCCTGTAGGTCAGGGAGGAGAGGAAGGCCTGACTCCGGGGACTCTCCACAGGTCTTCTTCTGGATAGGGAAGAATTCCAATGAGGAGGAGAAGAAGGCCGCGGCCATAACCGCACAGGAGTACCTCAAGACACACCCTAGCGGCCGAGACCTTGACACCCCCATCATTGTGGTGAAGCAGGGACATGAGCCCCCCACCTTCACAGGCTGGTTCCTGGCTTGGGACCCCTTCAAGTGGAGTGTGAGTGGCCCCAGCTGCGCTTCGTCCTCACAGCTCACCATATCCACCTCAAGGCGGGTTGTGAGGGCAGGTGGACTCTCCTAGGCTTTTCTGTTCCTTTGGGATGTATGACCTGCTTATTCGTAAAGGGTTACAGGGAGCTTAGAACAAAAACTAGGGCTGCAGGAAGGCCATTAAGTCCCCTCATGAGGGAAGGGAATGAAGTTTATTAAAACAACAACAACAAGAAGTAGTTTAATAAACTGGTTGTGGTGTATATGCTACCTATAATCCCAGCACCTGGGAGGCTGAGACAGAGAAATGCAAGTTAAGTCCAGCCTGGGTAATTTGGTAACTTAGCAAGATATTGTCTCCAAATGAAAAATAAAAAAAGGTGAAAATGTAGCTCAGTGCAAAGATCATGAGTTTGATCCTCAGCACTGCAAAAAATAAAACAAACAAACAAACAAACAAAAACCAGGCTAACTGTGGTGCCTGGTTTGTATGCTATATTTAGAGTCAAGCTGCTGTATATGGTAGTAAAGGTCATGCATATTACAGGTAAAAGCCATATTTTTAATTAATTAGAATTCAGCTGGGCATAGTGCCATATGCTACAATCCCAGTATTGCAGAGGCACAGGCAAGACGATGGAGATTTTGAGATTAGCCAGGGCTGCCTAGCAAGTTTGAGGCCAACTGAACTACACAGTGAGACCTTATCTCACTCACATGCAAAAAAAAAAAGTCAGGCCCTTTGTTAGTCACAAATTTTTTTTTTCCAGTACTGAGGATTGAATCCAGAGCTGTTGTGCTGAGCTATGTATGTAGCCCTTTATTTATTGTTTTTATTTTGAAACTGTCTTGCTAAGTTGCTAAGTTAGCCAGGTTGGGGTCCAGCTTGTCTGATCCTCCTGCTTCAGCCTCCTGGACTGCTGCTCACCACAATTTAAGTGCTCAATAGTCCCCTGTGGCCATGGCTGCCATCTTGGAAAACACAAGTAGAGAAAATGCCTATCATCACAGAAACTGCTCCAAGGCAGTGCTGACAGCAAACATACTACATCTAAAGGACAAGACTGAAGTGGTGGCAAACACCTATCTCCCAGCCCTCGGGGCAGCATTGGAATCTCCCTGATGTCAGGTGCATGAAGGAGTGAGCTGAAGGAGAAGGCAGCGCAGACTCAGGTGACAGACTGACTGCCAGGCAGGGACCAGTGAGGTGGCTCCCAGAAGTGCTGGCGTTGGGATTTACTGCCTTGACATTTGCTGGGATCCATCCTTAAAGACTAAACTCAGACCATTGGCTATGGAGGTCTCTAAACACACACATTCAAGTGCGTGCACATACACACACACCCACACCCATACCCACATGCACCACTTTTGAGGACAGTGACTTGTATGTCATGTAATTTAGAGTTCCAGAGTCACCAGCCAGGGCTTCCCTCTACCTGGTCACCCCCCCCCCCCCCCGCCAACTTTCCTGCTGACTGGGCTTGCATTTTGCTGGGTGCCAGGCCCTGCAAGAGGGCTGCGAGGCACTCCCTTCTGCTCCCTGCTGTCCTCCAGAGCAGGGCTCCCCTTCTGTGCCCCAGGGCCCCTGAGCACCCTGCAGCCTGGGCAGTGTGGGAAGTTCTCAGCTTGCACAGTTTCCATGGGGTGAAAGGACCTCACTGCCCATGGATGGCAGAACCAGGACAGATACCATTCTTGCCTGAGGCCCCTTGTGTGGGACCCCTTGGGCCATCCTCATGTATAACCTCAGAGGCCTCTGCCCCTTTTCAATATCCGGACACAAGTCCTTTGACTCTTGAAGGAAAATAGCCTTTTACTTCTTCTGCCGGGATCCTCGTCTGATCTGCTGCTTCCTTTACATGCAGAACTCTAAATCCTATGAGGACCTGAAGATGGAGCTTGGAAACTCTGAGGACTGGAGCCAGATAGCTGCTGTGAGTACCAGGCAGGATGTATCCTGAGTGACAGGGGAGCAGAGGGAGCCAAGAGTGTTCCAGAGAAGATGCCACTGTCCTGGGCTTCCTTCCCCTCTCCTCCTGCTTCTTCTGGAAGGAAGTTCTTGCTGTTTAGCTCCAAACCCTCAGTCTTCTCTCTCCATTTCCTAGTGAAATGCTTTCCGGTTATTATTCACCATGCTAGAGATCAAACATAGGCCCTCATCTATGCTAGACAAATGCTGTACCACTGAGTTACATCCCTGGCCCAGTTTCTGGTTTTTGTTGTGCAGAAGTGTCTGAGTGATGGGGCAGCATATTAAAATGCAGATGTTAGGACCCCCAAGTGTGCTGCTTCATGGAGTGTGGCTCTGTATCCAGTGTGTTTTAAACAAAGGGCCAAGCAACTCAGTGACTTAGCAAGATCCTGCCTCAAAATAATAAGAAAAAGAATGAGATGGGGCGGGGGAATTTAGCTCAGCAGCACAAGTGTCTGCCTGGCATGCACAAGATTGTGAGTTTGATCCCCAGTACCAAAAACAAAAACCAAGAATGAGATGAAGGCCATGGTTTGATCCCGGGTTCTGCCTAGTCACTGCACTTTGAGAACTAGTGACATCTCTCCACCCCACCCCCACCCATGCTCCTGAAATCCCTTCTCCCAGTAGAGTAAAAGCACCTCCTCCAATCTGTCCCTTAGCTACCAGAAGTGTAGTGAGTCCACAGGCCTGGGGCATGGGAAGATGAAATCTGAGTGTTTCCTTCTAGAAGTTCATGGGCTCACAGAGGAGACAAGACACAGGTAGCTGTACAGAACAGCATTGAGGGCCTGAAAACAATTTCCCAGGCACATGGGGCAGTCAACACTCACCAATCCCACACCCAGACGCTGAGAACCCCACAGTGCTCACCAAACCTTTCTTGGTAGATGAATAGCACAGGCTGGAAAAGGCAGATAGGGCAAGGCTGGTGTTGAATACATGATGACCATATCACAGCAGATAAGAGAGAGAGGGTCGTAAAAAACCAGGGTAGATCTCAAACTCTGGAGAGAGCCATGAAGAAGTTAGTAAGTCATTGAATAAAATAGTCACCCAAGTGACACTTTGGTCAGGCACAAACCACTCAGCTGGGAGCTGCAGAGTCCAATCCAGGTGATATGTTAAGAAGAATCTGTGTGTGTGTGTGTGTGTGTGTGTGTGTGTGTGTGTGTGTGTAAGTCTTCCTGAATGCTACCCTAACTAGTAGCTTCCTTTCCTTCCCTAGGAGGTCACAAACCCCAAAACTGATGTGTTCACCGTCCACACCAACTTCACCTCTGGGCCTCTGCCCATCTTCCCCCTGGAGCAGCTAGTGAACAAGCCTGTGGAGGAGCTCCCCCCAGGCGTGGACCCCAGCAGGAAGGAGGTAGGTGTGGCCCTCCCCAACAGCACCTAAAGAGCTGGCCAGAGGACCTAAATGCCCCCGAGGGCACTGGGTGCCAGGGCCACCCTGGTAAACCAGAAAGACTTATCCCCCCACTTTCCTGCCAGCTTGTATTCTTGGGGGACAGAGATTAGAGAAGCTTGAGCACACCGATCATTTCAGTGCTAAATGTCACCAAGATAAAGTCCAGGGGCCAGGGAGAGTATTATAAAAAGGAGCCTGATTTAGTCAGAAATTTCCTTATGAAATGTGAACAGGAATGATTGATTATTTTAGACAGAGTCATATTAGGATGGCATGGGCTTGAATTTGGGGTGCTCCTGCCTCAACCTTCTAGATTACTGGGATTATAGGCATGCATTAGAACACCCAGTTGAGATTGGCATTTGTAAAAGGTAGCTTTAAGCCAGGGAGCAGCACTCTGGGAGGCTGAGACAGGAAGAGAGCAAGTTTACAATTAGCCTGGGCAACTTAATTTTATTAAACAAATTTATTAAAAGGGTTTGAGTGTAGCTCAGTGTGAGGCCCTAAGTTCAGTCCCCTGTAGAAGTAAAGCATCATCCTGGCTGCTCAGTGAGGAAAAGACTAGAAGGTGGCAGGCACGGACCGAAGGAGCAGCACAGAGAGCGGGACACGGTCCTGCGATCTGGTAGCTCTGTCCTCTGAGGCACCAGGACTCATTCAGACTGAGGTGCATTTTGGGGGGTCCACAGTTCAGAGGACCTGGGGCAGAGATGGAGCCCACAACCCCCCACTTGGTCCAGCTGGCCTTGGCAGTTCAGGGGCGGGCCTGGTGGCAGAAGCACAGCGGAGAGCTTGTCAAAATCTCTTGGCTTGCCCACCCCTCTTTTTCCCTCCCCATGCCCTCTTTTCTCTGTTCTTCTTCCTCTCCTCCCTCCTCCCTTCTCTCCTCCCCTTCTCTCCTGGGATTGAACCCAGGCCCCATGCATGCTAGACATGCTCTACCACTGCTGGGAGGACACGGTCCTGTGGTCTCTATCTTTTTTTGGTCTCTGGAATTGAACTCAGGACCTTGCTCTTGCCAGGCAGGCGTGGTGCTGCTGAGCTGCATCCCTGGCCCCTCCTATGTTCCCTCTTGTGTTCTCTCGTCTGGCTAGTGGCTACGGCCTCGGAGGCACTCATGTCCTCACTGTATCATTGGCACATCACACAGTACAAGTGATATCTAGCCTAAGTCGTGGTACATGAAGTGCTCTGTTGATTAATGAAAGCTGTTACTGCCTGTTCTACATCCAAAGCAAGCAGGTCCAGCTAGAGGGGAAGTGGTTTGTGTGATGCTAATCAGCTGGAAGGTCAGAGCAAGGATCAATTCTAGTTGGGCATGGTGATGCATGCCTCTAATGCAGCATTCAGGAGGCTGAGGCAGGAGGATCACTGCAAGATTGAGACAAGTCTGGGTTACATGATGAATTCAAGGCCAGCCTGGAATACATAGCGAGACCCTGTCTCCAAAACTATGATGACAACAAGGACAAGAAGAAAAATCCAGGTTTTCTGAGTGCCATGTCATGGTACTTGCCCCCCAAAAGGATCAGTGTACTGGATTTCTAAAGGGAAGCACAGCCAGTGTTAAAGATAGCCCACTGTGCTAGAAGCAGCTGAAGAAACTGTGTCCCAGTTGAGGCAGCCTCAGATTTTAAAGTCAATTATGTGTAGATGATTTTTTTCTCTTAATTATGGAAGTCACGTGTTTCCTTGTGAGAGAGCTAAGGGTTCAGTATCAAGCATGGAGGGGAGGGGAGGTTTTCTGACCTCTCTAACTGTTCCAAATGCAAGGTGACTGGTGACAGGGGCAGGGTGGTGGACCTGGCTGCAGGCAGTAAACCGAGCACCATCTAAGGGTTGAGCCCCAGTGATAAAGCTTGGGGAGGCAGATATGGGCGAGGCCGATAGGTGCAGGAGCCAGGGAAGACACAAGTCTACTGGGATGGGTAGTCTTTGCTATGTAGCTTGGAGGGTCAGAGTCCGGGAATCCTAGCGGAGCCAGGCTGTGCCAGGGAGGGCACTGTGTAACCACTGGTAGGGACCTGGGACATAGCAGTCACAGCTGTGAGGAATTTGCTGATGGCCAAGGTGATTATGTTTATTCTCTTCTTCCAAAACAAGGTCAGCACTGCCATGCTGGGGGAGGGGAAGGCTTTCAGTATACAGCCCTCAGGAGCCTGGAGGAGAGAATAACCAGGGGAGGCAGGCAAAGCTAATGACAGGCTAGGGAACAGGCTAGCATCACATCCACCTGAGCTTGAAACCTATCCACAGTGTTTATGAAGGAGCCGTGCAATGCAAGGGCTCTCTGGGAGTCAATAAATGTCCCTAGGGCAACTCCACTTCAGTGGAGCTGCTCAAGATTTCATGGAAGCTCACCGTGCTCACCCGTGCTCCATCTGCCTCTCCACCACACCTGTGGGAGTGGAGACGGGGGCCGAGAGGTGCTATTTTATGGTTCCTTTACTTTGGGCCCTTATTTGGGTGTACATGGAGGGTAGTTAGGTGCCTTAGCCGATTATGATAGCAGCACCCTAGAGCTGGGAACAAAGGTGGTTTCAGTTAATTCTCTGTCTTACGGAGATCACTGTATTAGCTTTCTTGTGGCTGAGACACAATACCTGACACCCACAACTGAAAGGAGGAAAGGTTCAATTTGGCTTATGGTTTTGAGGAATTCAGTCCATGGTTGGCCAGCTCCAAGGCAGAAACATCATGGCAGGAGGGAGTTTTGAAACAAAGCTGCTCAGTTCATGGTGGCTTGGAAGCAGGTGAGGACAGTACCAGAGAGGAATGAGTGAGGGACTGAATATAGCTCACACTTCTGTGAACCCACACACCCAGGATCATGCTTTGCTCATCTGTGAGGCATTTCTTAAACCACTGAGGCTGACATATCAGGGTTAACAGCCACAGTTAGCAAAGGCCTGGACAGGTAGTGACTGTGATTTCCAACCTAAGAGTAAAAAGGTAAAATCATGCAATCAAATCTTCTGATCATTCACAAGATGAAAAGAGTTGGCACAAATCATTTCTCAAATATTTTCTTTTTTTCAGTTAATTCATTTAATCATCAGCTGTTGGTGCTTTTCGATACTGTTCATGGGAAAAACATAATGAGTTGACATCTATGTAAATAGAATACACTTTAGTCAGTAAACAAATACAAATTAAAAAGTGAGCTAGCAAAGAACAAAATCTGAATACAGGTTTCTAAAAGTGACGACTTCTCAGACAACACATACTGTATTTCTTATGTAAAAACATCTAGTTTCAGCAAGAAACAGTTTGGTTGCTTTTCAGCTGCACTGTAGATCTTGTAAGCTGAAGACACCAATATCTAAGTCCCTTAAAAACTGTGATAAAGTCTTTCTCAGTGCACACAAAATGACACATGTTCTCATCACAGTCCTAAGGGTACTTTGGAAGTTCTCGTGTTGCTTCAGAAATACATTTAAAATAGGTAAAAATCAAAAGGTTTCATGGTACAATGAAACAGTAACAGTGCTCAATTTATTGCTAATATTGAAAAAAATCTAGATTTTACAGTCCTCTATTATATATGAAAGGTTTTTTTTTAAATTTTGCATTGCATATTTCTGAGTCCATTCTCTTGTGTGTCTGTTGCATTTTTCTTGGTCTGATTTATAGATTTGTGCAATATATGGTATTTGGGTCATCTGGGTTAGGATCACAAAGTAGAGAACATATGGACAGTAAAACTTTTGATACAGTCAAAGCTGGTGACCACTGTGACCTCAGGATATCAAGACAAATACTTCTGTTACTATTTATATTTGGATGGTAAATTTTTGCTGTGAAAGCAGTCTTTGGTGTTTAAAAGGATAGTCTGTCAGAAAACGTAGTGAGGAAGAAGTCTGACTGTGTGCCGGATGTGACCATCAGCAGGCCCTTAATAGCTGCCTGCCAGGGAACAAGTCATCCCTCCCCTCTTCCCCAGGCCCAGCTGAAGGATGAATGGGAGGATCAAGCTGCAGATAATTCTTTCTGAATCTGCTTCAGTGCCGTGGGTCAGGGAGGGTGCGGCTGTGGGACTGGGGGCACTGTCACTGAGGGCTCAGCGGGTGCCAGCTAGTGCTCCCTGGCTCCCTCTGGGTGCCACTGCCTTTGTTCTGAGCACGCCAGAGCGTGAGAGTGCATGGCTGTGCGGGCGAGGGTCTGTTTCCTATGCAACAGAACAAGGGAAATTTGACTCTCAATTTGCTCTTTGGCCTTTGTGGCTTCTGCTCTTAGAATCCCTCCCCTAACTTGGGTCTCCCTTCTGCAGCTAAGCAAAACCTCTGCAGGTCCTGGAGGGAAGATGACAAGAGCCCTTCTCAGTGTGCCTGTAAGAGACTAGGCAGGGATCAGGGTGGTGCAGAGGAGCCTGTGCAGGAATGGAATGACTTTGACTCTTAAACATTGGCTTCAGTATCTGAAAACAGGAGCACAGCTGGTCCTCAGTATTCGCCAGGAATTGGTGCTGGGATACCCCAGGATACCAAAGAATGCCCAAGTCTTATCTAAAATGGGACAGTATTTCCATATAATCTGTGCTTGTCCTCTGGTATACTCCATTTGTTTTGAGACAGGGTCTATGTAGTAAGAGCCAGACTTGAACTTGCTATACAGCCCAGGCTGGCCTTGAAATTGTGATGCACCTGCCTCAGCCTCCTGAGTGCTGCCTATTATAGGCTCATGTCACCTGCACACTTTAGGTAACTTAAGATGCCTAAATTAATGTAAATGCTGTGTACATAGCTGTCATGCCATATTCTTTAGGGAATTTTATAAGAAAAAAACATTCATGTTCAGTACAAATTTCTACACTAATATTTTTGATCTGGTTGGTTGAATCCATGGACGCAGAACCCAGCGATAGGAAAGACTGTATTCAGAGCTGCGTCTTTAGCCTGTTGCTTGCTGTGTCCATTAGGACCATCGGGACTCCTTCCCTTGTAGCCCATCTGCTAACTTGCTCCAAAACTAAAGAGCCACATGTCCAGTGGTGACGGTGTGAGCTCATCTCTCCACACTGGGCAGACGCCCTACTCGGGCTCATCTGTGAGCCAGGCTATGATTTATGAAGGTAGATGAACAAGATTCACCAGCCCCCCCATACCTTATCTATTTCCATGCTCATAAAAGTTGTAAGTTGGCCTTTATGAATTTTCTTCCATTTTATGGAGAGGAAACTAAGGCCTAAAGAGCAGCTAGTCTTTAAGCCAAGTCAAAAGTCTTATCTGTAGACCAACATGAACTTGACCCTGGTAGAAAGAAAAGCAGCCCTGTTTATGCTTTTGTGTTTTCATGGAGCCCCCAAATGCTGCTGCCCTGGTCCCAGTCCTTTCCTGGTTCTCACAGCATTGTTTGCTTTTGTTCTTCATTTGATTGAGTCTGCCACACCAGTGTGACTCAGCCCACCCGACCTGGGAAGACTGTGACCTTTGTCTTCTGGCCCCTTTCCTCTCCTAGGAGCACCTGTCTGTTGAAGACTTTACTAAGGTTTTAGGAATGACTCCAGCTGCCTTCTCCGCTCTGCCTCGATGGAAGCAACAAAACCTCAAGAAAGAAAAGGGACTATTTTAAGAAGAGTCGTTGTGGTTGTAAAGCGGCACCCTACCCTGCTTTCGAGGTTTTGTTATTACTGGCTTTAGTCCTATGCCAATCGAAGAGAACATTCCCAGCTGCCCCTGCGAGGAGGCAGCTTTTCTTTAGCAATTTCTTTAGCAATTTCTTTAGCAACTTTTCTTTAGCAATTTACCCTCCTTCAGAAAGATTCCACCTCCCCAGGGAGCCTGTGACCCGGAGGGGCTGGGTTCTTTATCTCCTGGACCACTGCATCATTTGTAGTCATCTTGTTCTAGAGCCTCCCCTCCTTAGATGGGCAGCTCAGCATTCCCACGAGAGTTCCGAGGCACTGCCCCAGTTATTCTTCATCTCCAGCAGGTGGGCGGAAGTCCTGTGCGGTTTTACATCTTTCCCACAGCACTGGCCTCTCTGCATTTCACAAGCGCTTTCCTCTTTACCTTACTCAGGTGCTAAGTTAAAGAGGGCCTGTTCTTTGGAGAGCTGAAGGGCCTGGATTACTTCCTGGGTTACACGGTTCTCACTGAACAGCACATGCACTGGTCCCAGGCCTGAGGCCTGCAGCAAAGCATGAAATACAATGCTATGGTTTCTCAGCCCCTGCCCTACTCTAACAAGGCAGAGGGGGTGTTATCAGAAGCCTCTGTGAAGCTGCCCAGGCTCCTGAGGAGAAAACCACAGGAACTCAGTGGTGAAAACCCCCTAAAACCAGGCACTGCATGGGAGCCCAGACCGGCGACCCACCACAGTGGCGTCCATGGCTTTACCCTGGTGTTGAAGGGGTCCACGCTAGTGTGTCCTTGCTAGAAGTAACAGTCAGACCAGTGGCAGGTTAATAAAGGCTTTAATTTCACACCAAAAAACTCTGTATAATTTAAAAAGGAAACAAAAGGAAAAACCTTGAAGGATCCAGAGGAACAGTTCTGCTAAAGCACAGATAAAAGTGCTGCTCCATATAAAATAACAGCAAAAATCAGGATAAAAAGTCACTAGAAACACAAAGAAAAAAAATGAAACAAAAACAAAATAAACACACCTCACAAATGCTGTGGCCAAGGCTGCTAACCACCCAGGGAGTAACTGAGGGCAAGCACAGGAACCTTACTTTCTGCTTTTCTCTCCCAAGGAGGTGGACAGAAACCAATGCAGAGCCAGGAAAGCCGAAGTAGGAGGAGGCCCTCAGAGGGAGGGGACTCTGAGTCGTTTGCACAGCCACGCATGGGCTTTGAGCTGTTTCTGAAACAGCCCACTTTAGCTGACTGCTCTTCTTTGTTCTGGCATGGGACCCCATGACCTTGACTTCTTATGCCAGTGGGCACACCTATACTTTTAACCTCTATGCTTAGTTCAATGTCACTAAAATCAAACACCTTTTTTTTGGAGACAATGTCTTGCTATGTAGTTCAGACTAGTCTGACACTATGTAGTCCAGGTTGGCCTTGAACTCATAGCAAACCTCCTGCCTCAGCCTCCAGGTGTGTGCCACTACGCCTGGCCACTAAATGCTTATTCATACAGGCACACTCTACTTAAAACTTCAAAACCTCAGACACATCGCATACATGGAAATGAAACAATTTACTAGTTGTGTATAAGAGACTGCCTTAAGTCTAGTGGTCAAAGCATGCCATAAAGAAATCCATGATTGTGGTGAAACACAGAAAATAATTCTGCCACAGAACTTTCAAGGCTTAACAAACTATAGTTTTCCAATAAAATATATTTTTCCAGATGTTACTAAGATGTATCAATAGGGACAAAAGAATCTTGAAGTAATGCATCAGAAAGATACAGGGCAGAGATCTATTAGTTTCTGTACACACTTGCAAGAGACAGTTACCAGATGTAGCAAGATGGGGAAGAAAAGTTCACGACTGCCTTATCAGGACATTTAGGAGACATCCACGTGTTCCCCAGATTTAAAGCAAAAATCCACTTCCATAGTCAATGAAATCAAACAGGAAGAAAGCCTGGGAAACCAAGGTAAACATTTTCAGAGGACTGAGAAGAGGGAGGTAACGTTGTTATTTGTTTCAATATACCCTCTTCAGATCACAAATCAGTTTTTCTTTGCCTCTTTAACTGCAATATGGGAGAATAAACTTAGATTTTTTGTTTCTGTAGATGTTCTAAATCATAAAGCTTCTCAGATGATTTTGTACTTGATCAAACAAAAAAGATGTGTTTAATATATGCACTTGGAATTAATGAACTGATTTGTAGTATAACTGCATATTTTCTAAAATGTACACATATTTACATTTGTTATATTTGCTGCTGAGCTATTTAAGTTAGGCTCTGAATTAACAGAGCACAGCAAGTAAACAGCTTTGGAATCAAAAATACAAATAGAAGATCAACTCATGAATTTGATCATTTTATTCTGCTGAGATAAAACCTGTGACTGCGCACATACATATAAATATATTTCTACAGAAGTTATCTTCTCACAGGCCTACAGTCTTGGCTCTTAAAACAGCAACATCTGTCTACATGAGACTTTCTGATTCCATAATATTAGGAAACAGAAATCAACAAGCTTGAGTTTATTAATTTATTTTTCTTCCAAAAACTTCAACTAAGACCAAAAGGTTGTGTCCAAAACTAATTGCTAACACATTCCAATTCAAAGTCATTTGAAGTAATGTACCACATATTTGGTATGTTCAACAGGTTCATTATTGCGCAGACTTCCTGGAACTGTAGAACCACTGGGTTCCCATCTAACTTGGCCCCTCCTGGCCCCAACCTGCTAACTGACCCAAGCCCCAAATACGGCAAACTGATCACACTGTGCAAAAAATAATATATATATATTATCTATTTATAATTTAAAAATATATACAGTCAGCTCAAAAAAGAAAACCCCCAAACCCAACCCCTATCAATATAGTCTAGCTGAAATCTCCATTTACAGTAGAGTAAGTTAAAGGAAGGAAGGAAGAAGGGAAGGGAAGATTCACAAGGCCACAACGAAGGACAGAGAATAAAATTCAAGTCCCAAATTTGCGAGGAGGAGCACTGAGGTAACTCATATATTTTAATAACCTATTTTCAACAAGTCCTGCCCAGGACATAAAGGTCAAACCAAATCAGACTTCTGTGCCAAGTGTCCTTCCACTCTATCCACGTATGTGAGCAACTGCACCGAGCTGCTTGGGAGGCCGCCTCACCTTACCGTGTTACTCTGCTTTTCTCTCTGTCTCAATGCAAACCTCACTTCACATTGTTCCCTATCATTTTTAACAGCTCAGAGCTCTCAAATGCAGAGAGGGAACAGAGTAACTAAAGAATTTAATCACTACTTCACTTATTTACGAGAAAAAACGTTATTTGAAGACAAAGCTCCTGGTAGATAACAAAAATTTTAAAAACTTAAAAAAAAAACCAATTATTTTCCTCTGCTTTAAACTACTCTGCATAACTACCACTTTATCATTCTGGACACTCACTATGGTCATGTGTGCTGGTGGATGGCAGAAGGCAAAGTGTTTATCAGTAGTTAAGCGAAAGTGCTGAGGCCATTTACCACCCAAAACCCCAAAACTTGAGGTGACCTTGTCAGAACGCAACCAAGCTTCCAAAGGAGGTGCTGGTGCTCTGAAGGCAGCCTGTCAGGAAACATGCCGCATCTTCGTGATGAGTCTTAACATGTTTTCTCCCTCTAAAAACCCGATGTCTTGTCCCTACCTCAGAACTGTAGAATAATTTTCTTGTCTATAATAAAAGAAAATGAAGCTTTCATCCTGCTAAATATAACTCTGTGCGACCCTGAGCCCTGGGCTCACAGAACTCCGCCCTCACGCCCACCCTTCCCTGGGCCTTTCCGCTGGGGGTTAAGGCAGCACTGGATCCTGCATCCCCACTCAGCCTCACCTCACAGCACCAAGAAAGACAATATTGTGCACCTTTGTATCTGTTAGCTCGTGGGATTACCCAACCAGTCACATTTTAATTCTTGCCCTGTTTTAAGAGTATATCTGTACAGTAAATAATTATGCTCCAGGTTTTCCCGACAGCTCATGTCCTTCATCTCACATGTGCGGCAGGATTCTGGCTTTAGTGGTCCAGGGCTGGAGCTACTGTAATACAGTAGACATCTCCTGACCACTAGCTCTGCCGAGGCAGAGACACCAGTGTTTCTCCTTCTCCCTAAACATCCTACAGGGTAGGGTCATGCCTACTCCATGGTACAGAATGATCCAGAAGAAAAGAAAAGGTTCTAACTTCACCATCACAATAATATAGATGAACAGGATGAACAAAGTGTATGAAAGAATCTCTTCAGAGAAAAACGTGAGTTGTACAATGAATACCAAAAATATGACTGTAACACGTTCCAAAGCACCAACGCTTCATTACATGGGAACCGCATGTAAACAGTACAGGCACGACAGATTTGTGAAATTTAAAAGCTCGTCATTCAACAGAAATGCCTCTTGCAAGGAGGACAAATTGTCATTAGTGTAAAACAGAGGGCTGGCTTTCCAGTGAATTGTACTCGTAAGAAACACAAAGGACAGATTTAAATGAAGCTATTCAAGGAACATAAAAACAAATAGCCAACTGATTTCTGTATTTTCACATATTTTTTAGGTGGACTCTCTGACACTTTTATTTCTTTTCCAAACTTCCTTGCTGTTGGATTTTTCTTTTTTGGTTTTCTTGAAGACAAGGTCTTGCTATGTAGTTCGGGCTGGCCTTGAACTCACTATGTAGCCCAGGCTGGCCTCAAAATCACAGCGATCCTCCTACCTCAGCCTCCCGAGTGCTGGGATTACAGTCGTGCAATGCCATACCTGGCTTGCAGTTACTTTTGTGCAGGCATATTCCTGTAGTTCCCCTGAACTCATTAAGGCTCCACTCACCCTGCATGTATCTATATATATATATATATATATATATATATATATATATATATATTACAACATGTACTCCTAAGACAAAACAAAGTGCCACTCTTGCAGGGGAAAAAGAGGATCATCAGCTACAGATGAGACCAAGGTGTCCATAAAGTAGCATGGAGTATTCCACATAACTGCAAATTTTGTTTTTTGGTTTGGCCCTGAGCTGTTTGTTTGTTGCTCCCACATCAGGTAGAATTCCAGATTCCCCTGGGCAGAGGAAAGATGACATCAGTGGCAGTGAGAGAAAATGCAGTGCGCACTGCCAACCCAGACTTCCTCACGAGGTCGGTCGGGCAGTCTTCCCTGTTTCCATGCTGAGTGCCTGAGAGTTCTTTTCTGTTTCTAGCAGCTCATCAAAGATCTCCCTTAAAATAAAACAAAACAAAACAAAACAAAAAAAAAAACAGGAAGGTCAGTAAGTAGAACCAAAGCTCACACAGAAGAAAAAAGCAACAGGAAAGGGATACTGATTGTGTGGGGTAGCACACAATCCCACTGTGGGCCTACATGTTACTAAGTAAGCATCTCACTTCACCCATCACCATTTTAAACCCCTGCATAGTAATTTTTGAGAATGAGGTGACCTGGCAATGCTATGCAGCCAGCCATGGTGGTGCATGCCCGTTATCCCAGTATACGGGATGCTGAGGCAGGATTGCTGTGAGTTCAAGGTCAATTTCCACTACATAGCAACAACCTGACTCAAAACAACAACAACAAAAAACCCCAAGGCTATGTAGTTCCCATTCATATCAGTCAGATCTGAACTAGAAGTCAAAGGCAAACTGGGTGTGGTGACATGTGTCTGGTGCCTGTAATCTCAATGTGTGGGAGGTTGAGGGCTGAGGCAGGAGGATCACTATGAGCTGAAGGCCAGACTGGGCTAACAAATGGTTTAAGACCAGCCTGAACTATATGGCAAGACTTTGTCTCAAAAAAAAAAGTGTAAGGCCATA